ATGGAGAGCCTTCCTTCGATACATTCCGATGCAGCTCCCAGGCGTCACGTTCGGGGCACGTTGAGCGAAAGCATCAGAGAATCGTATGTGAGCTCGCGCTCAAAGTTTGCCTCCTCTAGGGAATTATTCGCGGCGTCACCTAGCCAGAAGTCCCGAGAATTAGTCGAACGAGGAGGGAACTCGAGCGGTGAAACTGGGGGAAGAATTCGATTATTGCTATCAGAGAGGAGATTTTCGGAGTTTTGCAACCTTATAGTGTCCAAAACTATCCCTCGGGCATCACGAGGAGCTCCGCGAGAATCTCGGGTCTCGTCCGCTGAGCACGATCACTTCTTCGGAATTTCCGGAGCGGAAGTAGTGCCGAGAAGTAATTTCCTAAGTTCCTCATCTCCCTGTGTGTCATCCGAAAACAGTGTCTATTTCTGTTTAAGATGAGGAAGAGCGGCGGCAAAAAGTCCTCGACGCGTCACGTCGCGATTTTTCCAGCCCCAGCTTCCAAGATTACCGCTCACGGTTCGGAATCGTGTCCATATACCGAGTATTCTCTAACTGATTCGTGCTGTATCCAGCCTCCGTTCACGGGCTGCCTCCGAGCGGAGATGAAACGACGGAATCCCGGCGTCCAACGGAGCTTATTCCCGAGAACGAATGCCGGTCACCCACGAAAAATGATAATTGGACGAGCCGAACGCGGTGACATCATGGCTAGTAATCATCGAAGCTCATGCACGTAGTCGAAATTTCTTTGATACCGGTCTTTCATTTCCATGAGCTCATTGGTAGAACAATCCAATTCCACCATCGAGATCTCGTATACGTACTCATCGTAGATCTCCATGGCTTGCTTTGAGGTGAATTCATCATCCCGACACCGAAGATGTGTATGCAGATTCCAATCGCGTTGCTTGACGCCGTCCCCGACGTCGAGCACGAAATCCCTCGAGCGCGTTTACGGCTCGGAGGCGGTGGCGGTCCAAGCTCGAGCAATCTTCGTTCCTATTGCGGCGCCTTACGGTTCCACTTCGGATCGAGGAGTGAAATTAGCAAAGGATTCAGTCCGGATGACTGAATGAGATAGCTCCCGGAACCGTGATATGGAGAATCGCCGCCGTCTGCTGGTAAACAATTCATTCATCGCCAACGAAACAATCGTGCGTCCAGACGGTTTCGATGGCAGGTTCGCCCCTCTGATGCGGGCAGTCGGGTCGTTCGAACGAAACTCCCACGTCTAGAATTCCGAACTCCTACGCCAACCAAAGTTGTGGTTCTCGCTCCCTGCGGGCCTAACACCACCGGTCCGAGCCTCGGTGGATTTCAAGAACTTCTGACTCATTCTCTCCCATGATACGATATGTGAGGTCGTGTCGATCCGTTGGATCCGGCGAATCCGAATCAGAGATTAATCGTTGGTGCGATGGAGATGCGGTCATCTTAGTCGCGGTTTTATCGAGAAGGCGGTGCGGCCCGTGGTGAGCTCGGCAGACGCCTGTTCCAATTCCACAAACTGAGACCCTCAGGGAGCTCGAGCGGTGTCGGCCATCTGGAAGGATTTTGAACGAGCCCCGGTGAGGCGTGTCGTAGCGAAGTTCAAGTCCTCATCGAATCACCTAGAATTTCCCACAGACAGCGCGCGGGGCCTATACACCCATTGCTAGCTGGACGAGGCGAGTGAATCGCTTCTCGGCGGACAGCTTGCCGGAGAATCTCTCCTGCTCTACGGGGACCTGAACACCGGAGTCACTTGATCCTTTTTCGGAGAGTTCACTTATCCTTACGGCATCGACTGCTGCATCGGAAACCACGGGAGACAAGCGTTCTTCGCTTCATTGGTCCCAACGGGGAAAGTATCGGAGTCCCGGGCAGCTCACCGCCATCACGAGTACGTCGCGGAAGGGAAAGTAGTCACGAACAAGGGGCCCTTGCCGTTTCCCGATCCAAGATCCAAGGAGAACGGCTTGCGTCGACACTCCGTCTGCCGTGCTTGAACTTATCGTTCTGACACGGATTTCAGACCGTCTGGCAAGACGCCTGGTCCTAAGAATACATGTTGCTTGGTCGCGTGTTCCGAGAGCTGATAGTAGGGGAAACGATGAAAATGCGGAGCTGAAAGAAAATATAATAATTTTGAATCTGTCAAAGTGCACCCACAGCGATGATCGTTCCACCTCCAGCCATGGCCAGTCAGTCAGTCCGTTCGTCCGTCCGCTGAGAGTCTCGTCATAGTCACTGAGAAGTTGACGCCCCCCCCCCTCGCGTTGAAGAGGTAGGGTTCTACCGTCACGTCAGCCCGCACCGAGGCCTTCGCCGCCGGGTGAGGCTCGGATACCGCGGCTGCTGGAATGACTAAAAATTCCTCGTCCGAATCCGCCTCCGAGTCCTCCTCCACGGCCCTACTCGGCTATATGTATTCGTCATAATGTAGCTCTTACCCTTCGCATCTTCGGTCTCATGTTGTGATTAGAACCCGCCCTTGGAAAGATCGAGAGTCCCGTCGCTGCGGCACGGGCAACCTCCATCGGAGCCCCCGACGGAGACAGCGATCACGGCGCTAGCGGTGATGAGAGCCGGAGTTAAGGGGTGGCTGATTTCGTTTGTTTGGACTGATCTTGGTCGAAATTCTTCCCGGGATACCATCTGCTTCATAGGATATCTGCTTTCACCATTGTCCACATCTGTAGAAGTCGAATCGCAAGGCGGATGACGACCCTTGCCACGAACTTACGAGATCGACCACTGAGATAAACTGTAATGGCTCCGAAGCCGATGTCAACATGCCCTTGAGGAGGAAAAGCTCCGGCGTACAGAATCGTACCCACAGAGACCATGAAGCGACGATAAGACAAGAGAATCGTCCTGTCCACGTCGTGGGAGTCCTAATGTGATTTCGAAAGCTCTATCGAGCCCAGTTGATCGTGAGCAGCTCGCTCTGAGTTGACGTTCAGATAATTCCTGATCTCTCTATCTGATCTAGTCCCTCTCCTCAGCTGATGCTGCCTGCGAACGGGACACCAGTCCAGCTAATGACTGACGTCAAAGTGAAGAGCAAGTTCGATGTTCTGCAGTATTGGATATGCTCAGAGCAGACAGCTCGTTGATTCTGCGGCGATGGACTCTGCCGAGGATCCAGATACCAGCGGTGCCGTCGACTGGAGGCCAGGTTCTCCGAATATTTTCTATAATCGATTATTCGAATATCTCACGCCTAATGGGCTTCCGCCTGATGAGACAGATCGCCGAATGAGAGACATCAGCGAAGAAAACGTTCCCGGCTTCCTCCCAACGGAATAGATTTTTCAAAAAACCGCACGTTCCATGGAAGACCGCGCCTATTGACTGCGGTTATTCGCTAGCCCCCGTAGAGTTGAAGAAAAACCGTGGTTACTAATCGCAGTTGCAAAGCAGAAAAAGGAAGGAATAGTCCCTCTTGTTTTTGCGTTATCTTATTCATGTTCGGGGCCCGCCATCCGGGAGAAGCTCGTCTTCCTTTAGAGACTCTATCTCCTGAAGAAATTGCGCGACGTATGACAATTATCAGAACCGACATGCACCCTTGTGGCGGATCCCGGAGGAAGGTCCCACGCGGAATGGCTGACTCAATCGAGCTGCTCGACCGCGAAACCTCCCGATTGCATCGTCGAAATGAAGAAAACTTTGACTCGCGGGCCCTTTCACGCGGACTCTAAGATTCGAGTATAAATTCCGTGCTTCTTGGAAAAAATTGGATGTTTACGTCCAGCCATTCGGGGCGCATCCGAAGTTTCCCTCGCGACACGTGTTTTCCTCTGGAGAAACGGCATTGAGGATCGGTGACTTGCACTATCTCTGGTGGCAACATTGCCGCTATCATATCCGATGAGAGATCGGCGCGTCGGCGACTATTGATTTGACTCTGAGTTAGAGCACTTGACGAACTTTCGATCGTAGGTCTGCACCAAAGAGCGGTGAAGCCGTTCGTCGGCACGTGGCCTTACTTCTCACTCGCTTCCAAGAATGACACAGAACTTCGCGGATTCCCAAGTCGAAGGAAGGGAGAGTCGGGACTTGGAGAATGAGCGTCGAAAACACCATGATGATGAGAAATTTCTTAATTTCTCCGCTTTTGATGCCTAGATGCCCGTGGTGTCGAAGCCCCCCACTTTCTGAAGAGCTGAACTCTGTGACTTCAGTTGCGTAGCTTAAACAGCTACGACGCCGACGAGTTCCGCCCTCAGTGGAGCAGCTCCTGTGTCGTGTTCGCCATGAAGGATTGTTGTCGAGACGCCGTATTGCCCCCAGGGTCGTAGCTAAACGAGAGCGCTGCTGAACTTTCGTCACTACAAGAATCGTTTTTTTCTCTGAACTCGCCGAGAAAATCAAAGTTTCAAGAGCTGTTTTCGGTGTTTTCACCGGGAGTACATGAATCGAGTTTTCCGGAGGCAATCACCGTTGAAGACTTCGAAGTTTGACTTTGATGAAAGTTCTCATATTACTACGAGACTTAGCCCATAACTTCTTCCGAGCTCCGAGAAGTGCTGTAGCAATTTACGCTGAGTTCTAACAAGCTTTTACTCATTCTTGGTTTTCTGAAGGGATAAAAGTCGTCGCCTTTGAAGTGATTTGATGGGCTATTCGCGGCTCACTGATCACGTTCCCACAGATCCCAGCTGGAAGACTTCAATAACGGGGACTGAAATGAGGCTGCGTGTGCTTAGCGTATCGATTCCCAGCGTGTCAAATGCTGCCAGCGGGACATCAAGGACCAAAATTGAGGGTTGATGACAGATTCCGCTCGATTCGGTAGAAATAATGCAAGTATAATATTCTGGCCATGTCATGTTGAGGAGACGAAGTTCTTCTCGCCTTAGGGGATGCCCAAGGTATAAAAGCAGCGATCTTCCAAAGAAGCAAACACAACTACATCAATCCAAAGTCCAGTGCGAGATCAGCCCAGTAATCTCCTCCTCCTCCTCCCCATCGAATTTCTGATCGCTCTCGAGCATCGAGGGGCACTCCAGGAAACTATGGGAATCACAGCCTTGAAGATGCGCGTTTCAATCGTCGCGTGTGTGCTGCTTGTTTCCTCGGTATATGCTGGCAAATTATTCGGAGGTAAAGGTTACGGTGGCGGCGGCTACAGTGGCTACGGAGGCAATTACGGTAATTACGGGAGCAGTGGCTCCGGATACGGATCCAGCGGCTACAGCGGTGGACATGGAAGTTACGGCGGCTACAGTGGTGGGCATGGAAGCTATGGCGGTCACAGTGGTGGTCACGGCAACTATGGCGGCACTTATGGAGGCTACAGCGGTGGACGCGGCGCCTACGGTGGCAGCTACGGGGGTCACGGTGGCTACAGCGGTAATTCCGGAGGCTACGGAGGCAGCTATGGAGGATACGGTGGTAACTCCGGAGGCGGTTGGAGTACTGGCGGAGGCTTGGCAGGATGTCCTCCGTTCGGTAGCGCTTCTTATGGTAGTGGCTACGGTGGTGGTGGATGGTGAAAGATACTCGAAGGATTTCAAATCTGTAATAAGTGTCGAAGGAAGAATCGATCACGCTCATTGCGGCAGTCCACACGGCAATTGAGTTCTAGATAAGATCGAGTACAATAAAAAAACATTCAAAGACTAAGAATGCAGAAAGGGTTTACTTTCGTGGCTCATCCCTGACCCTCCCCCTGCTCAATGCAGTACATAAGGGGTAGCACAGACTGAGAGAGAGCCGGAAAAGTTCTTATACTGGACCACAGAGATAGGCTAATCGGAGCAGTGAACCGGACTCCACATTGACCCGAACCGTTCTCGACTGGGAGCCACACCGCGGAAAAACTTCATTCGTTTTCTCTGAGCACCGATCCTCACAGGAGCACTTGCAGTCCTCAATCGACCCCCAGTTTGAGCCCCAATTCGATCCTTCCCCATTCGATCACTCAAAATGTCTCCGATGGAAGAATCGGGCTCTCGCAAGCCGGCTCAGCCGAACGATTCGTGAATCTGTCCTTGAGATTGAGTCAAGTGTGTGTCGAAGACTGGATCGGGTATGGCTATCGTTCTGCCGTTTCGCGCGGCTCCGGGCATAAGTTCCAGCAGCACGGTCGCCTCCATCAAAAATCGAAGGGATTCGTCGGGAGCCCACTTGCAGCTGCGATGTCCCAGCTGCTGGAAACGAGTTACCTTCCGGAGCGCAGCAAAGTAGAAAAAGCATCGGGCGTCGGAGAAGTGGATGTGTCACGCTAGGAGGCTCGAGCGTACCGTAGCAAATAACCGTCTAATGCTCCCGATCCTACTTCTTCTGTAAACAGGCCCTTCGAAGGTAGGGGAGGGGGGGGCAGGGGGGAACCTTTCTCCCGAGGGAGTCGACTCGCGAAAATCCTCTTTAGCAAAGTGAAAGCCTCCAATTGCTGTGAAGGACATCAGACACCGAAAACTTCCATCAATGGATGAGAAAATCAAAGCTCCACTCTTGGAAATTCGACTCGGGACCTCCGTTTCTCTCCATTCGACTCTCGATTCCAATATTCAAAGTTTTGATTCCGGGAACGAATCCGACGGTCTCTCGGAGGCAACAGGAGGTCTATCCGTTGACGGCGATACGGTACCCTGCGGTACGATATACCCGTTTCAGGATCACGTACTATAGATACGAGTTATTTCGGCTCCCGCAGGTTCCTCATGGGAGTATATGGAGCGATATAGAGGTCGGAGTGGACGCTAATTAATAGAGCTAGGAAATTTAGGCACTAAAAAACCTCGGAAAGGGCAGGCAGAAAGGCGCTAAAAAGGACGGGAATAGGCGCTGAAAAGAGGCAGAAAAGGCATAATAGGCACCGAAGAGGCTGCTTTAATTTACCCGATATCCTGGTTACACAAAGGAATTATATGATACATGGCATTCTTAACGGTGAAAGATTGTCGTCTATCCGAGAGCAGCATCTCCAATCGTGAGAAAGTCCGTTCGACGTCCTTACTTACGATCGGAGCATATCTGTACAAAGGTATATCCGAATCCTTTATGCTCCCCGCTTCCGACACTTCCCTGGTACTTTGGAAAATTGACAGATCCGGAGCGAGATCTCTAAAACATTGTATTCGCGAAGGTGCCTTAAGAAACACTTTTTTCACGCTCGCGACAAAGGCATCCGTTTCTGGGGAGAGCTTGCGAATTTCCTCGCATACCCTGTGGAGGGCGTGCGCGAGGCAAGTGACATATACCATGCTCGGAAAAAGGACTCTCAGTCCCTCCGCCGCTTTTTTCATATATCTCGCAGCGTCTGACCAGAAGCAGGACATGGTCATGTTTCACTCCATCTGGCCAGAGTATATTCGTCGAATTACAAAAAGCCTGAGCGATCGTTGCATGATTTGTTCTTCCGACGACCTCTGATCCGAGGAGGTACGCTTTCGAAGGCTGAGAGGCGTCGAGCCTACCCACCACGGTATCCACGACGAAGAGTCCTCTAGAATCTGTTGTTTCATCTACGGATACCCAGATCTTTGCGTCGCCGATTGAGGCTCTGATCCCTCTGATCGTAGCAACGTACACTTCTTTAAGGCACGTTTTCCTCGAAGTTGATTCACGCGGAAGGGGTTGATTCGACCATTTCTCCAGGAATCGCTTCAGAGCTTTGTTCTGTATCTTGTAGAACGGGACGTCTGCTTCGACTAGGGCTTGGCAGAGCTCCATGTTGAATTCACTACCTCTAGTGGGCTTCGTTACGAAATTCGTGAGAAGCGACACTTGATCGCCGCCAGTATCTTCCTCACGTGCCACACGTTTATGGTGACCATCGCCCCGTACGTGTTGTTGAATGAAGTATTTCTTTTCATAGTTAAGTGACTTCCCGCATGGCTTGCAAAGCAACACGATGCCATCCGTCGTGAAAGTTTTTCCACCAAATATCTTCACGTACAGTTCCAGCTTGCTCCGAGAGGTGGACGATTTTTTCGGCATGGTGGAGACTGCTCCTTAGCAGATGAAGAGATCCATCACAAATTTTCTAGCATCTCGAATCTCACTCAGTCAGCTCCGAGCGCGATTTTCGTCCCCGCGCGAAGTACAGAACATCACGCTCGTCAAGATCGCGCTTGCGCAAAGCTGTTCACCGACCGGAGCGCGTCTTTCGAATTTCTTCCTCCAAACCGCGGAATATGATTGCCTAATCGAACGATGCGTATCCATCGCCCAGATCACTCTTCTTCTGGGATCCCCAGAATTCGACCCTACAAGTGCGAAAAAGGCACTATAGGCACGGAAATGTAGGAACAGGCAAAAGGACGAATAAAATAGCGAAATAGGCAAAAAAGGCATTTATGGCAAAATGCCTGAACTAAATTAAGCATCCTAGTCCCCTCGATCCTGATTGACGCCACGACGGCTCTGACAACTCATCCGCCCTCTCGCTCTGATCGATGAAATCTCGGGTAAGTGATGATGAAGAGCTCGTTTCGGCCGATCCTCTCTGTCACCTTGTTGAGCGCTCCCGCGACCGGAGCGGTGCAGGCTTACGGGACGAAGTACAACAACGACGACAAGACGGCGAGCGGAGGGGAGACGACAACGGGCATGAGAGTAGCTGCAGGAGCCCGCCGACACTTCGATATTCGCGAGTCTAATTAACGAGCCCAACAAGCCGGGGAGAATCGCAGTATATGTGTCGCTCTGGGCAACGCCATAGAGAACGGATGTGCTCAGAAGATCGGGATTTTCGAAGTCGGACAGAAGCCTCTACACGCATAGATACGGACCGAGTAGCCGACAGACGGCCGTCTGGCAGAGTGGTCGGATGTACACGCATCAGCCGAGTGGGTTTGTCAAGTGCTGTCAAGCGAGTGAAGCGAGGCCGCGAACCCGTCTGAATACGGTTACTTGTTTGCCGATAGGAAGGGTTACCATTGACCCCGGGGATACGACGAATGATAATTGGCAGACCAAAAATACTGGCGAATGTTTAATACTTATCGGCATCGAGCATTGCCTCCCATGCCAAGGTTTGTTGCCCGCTCAATCTGCTTTGTTTTCGGTCCGTCTGCCTGTGACAGGATGGTATCGAAATAGAAGAGCTCGTTTCCAGCATCGATCAGCAGGGTCTGCGTTGTGTACTCGCAGTTTATCGTATCGATCTCTTCCATCGAACGTATGCTCGCCTGAAGGGAGGCATCGGAGTCGCGTCATGGGCGGCGCCAGTATGAATAGGCTTCCAGCTTCGCATGAAAGAGAGCCTGGCGCCGCCTGTGGTCCGGAAAAATTTCCGAATCATCTCTGTTGTTCAGTCTTAATGACTCGGGAGTGCCTTCGGCTTGAGATGATTATCGAAACTCACGATGGCAGATCGACAGCCCAGACATTATTCATCGAACGGTGCTTCTATCGACGGATATTTCAGGGAATCGTGCAATCGAGGAAGGAGTTTCCACCAAAAATTGTCTCCCATTCATTCGTCGAATTCATGGAGCGTCAGAATCAGTCGCTTGCCGCGCGGCGCGCGGATCTCCGATGGTTCCACCTGAAAAGCGGTGCACAGCTCAATTCCTCGCTTCGGAGAAAGTTCGCTAAACGAGCAAACTGCTGCCCGAGCTTCAACAGGTTCCAAAAGAGAGGCTGATTTGGTCCGACGTTCCGACGAGAAGGTGGGTCATATGGTTTTCCTTGTAGAATTGACAAGTTTTTGACGAAGGTTCTTTTGTCATTCTAGTTTCTAGATGACATGAGTGTGAGCTCTAAAGGATATACTCGCAAGAAGGAATAGTTTGAGAGCCCACGGGCTCACGTTATTTGAATATCTTAGCATTCGTAGGGATGACTCGGCTCCAGGATCCCGTTTTCTGTCTGAGAGCCGTTCTCCGTGAACTTTGACATTCTTCAGAGTTCGCCTGCCGAGAGCAGCTCTGCCGACTTCTCCACTTGACGGTGGTCGTGCAGCCATCTCGAGCTCGGCATTGCCCGAAGAAAGGAGTCGGGGCACTTGCACGCTTTCGAGAGAACGGAAATTACTTCGAGAATAGCCCTTCCGCCAGCACCTTTTCCCTGGGGTCGTCCGGTTGGTCGGTCAAATGGCCTGCTTCTCCGACCACCAGCTCGCTTGCCTTCCGGGATCCGGTCGCTTGCTAAGGATGCCCAGTCCGTCGTCAGAGCGTTGAGTACCCGGTTCAGCCATGAGGAGGACCTAAGAATCAGAGAGGGAGTCTCAAGTCCACCGTATGCGAATGCGAATCAGCGCGCGCATCGTGGCTCAGATACACAGATACGAGTCGCTCCTACCGAGAGCTCGATTCGGCTCCGCGAGGCTTGTTGAGGTCCTAGTCCGACTCCCATCCAGACTGCAGAGCATGGAAACATTGAATGTTCGAAGACCGTTCTTCGACCAGCCTGTCAATATCATTCTGAGTCCCATGTCCTTTTTGAGCGTTTTCGAGCAGTCCGGCGTCCCTGTGGAGAGTGCTCGTCGTCCGCCAAGCTTCTCACCGCGCACCACATCAGAACGAAGGAGACGTTCCGAAACGGATTCCCACGGTGAGCTCCCGGAAGGATTTCCCGTCTCGTGTTTTTAGCCCTCGGCTATAGACACCGAAACCATTATCTCGTTCTATTTTTCTCGGGAGGGAATTCAGAAGCCACCATTTTCTCTAGCCTGTCGTCGAACCATCCGTTCCTGGACGCTGCTCTTCCGGAACCAGAGAGCGCCTTGACAAGGAATCCAGTCGCCGACCGTGCAAAGTCGGGACTGCATACGTACAAATACTCGAATTACGCTGGCGTGTCTTGCTTGTTAAATGCTTGGTTGGTTCCGTCTGTTCGGTTGGTTGTCCGGCCGGCCCGTCGGTCGGGCATTCCCTGGGAACAGACGGGTAGTAGGACGGGCCTTGGCGGTTGGCTCACTTGCTCGCCAGCCGGTTTCGTTGACATTGGCCAACGCGAAGCAAATAAGCCCCGGGCCATCAACTATTTGGTCTGAGGGAGCAAGGAGCGTTTTTCATGTCCGGCGGATTTCTCTGATCTTTTTTCCCGGGGGAATAAGCTCCACGAGACAGCGAAGTCTCGCTTCCCCCGCGCCGGGAAGTCAGGGCACTTTTCGCTCGGCTCGACTCGAGGAAATCTCGTCGTGCCCTCAAGTGGGCACGCATTGACGATCGGCGTGAGGGGGATTTCGGGGGAATCAGGACACCTCACTCGCATGATCAGAGTGAAGGGCCTCCCTATACGATCCCGGAAGCGTCCCATGTCTCCCGGATAATGATTCGGGTATTTGCGTTTTCTCACTATCTATCAGGTAGACGAGGCTGGTGACAAGGGACGACTTCAGAATCGCCAACAGCTGTGGAGCCGTCGGAGGCCCCTCCCGAGCCATAGTCATGCAGCTGAACCCGCTCTTGAGAGACACGTACGCAAGGGAAAATCTAGGGGGTTCGTCTCGGCGGGCCCGACTGTGCGTTTCAGCCCGATAAATATCGGACCCATTTGGACCACACTGAATAATTACTTTTATCCCTGTATCATCCAAGTCAATGTATTTGCACGAGGAATAAATACTCCCGGGCCGCGTTGCCGTGCTAGCAACCCCCTGCCCTCGTCAAGGCTTGTCAGGCGCGGAACTCCATCAGAGACCGACGAATTCGTCAACATTCGTCAAGATTCGTCGCTCGTTGCTCGCTGGTCCAGAATATACAGCGTAGGTTCCTGACGGAGTAAGTCATCAAGGCTCTGAGCATCTATCATTCCGAAACTCTGGAGCTCGAGCGTTCGGAGAAGGTGTGCTCGGAGGGCTAGCGTTCACTATTCACGTTTCTCGCCACCTCTTCGGTCTAGGGGCCTTTCCCGAGGCTTGAGTAGCTTTGAGAGCAAGATAGGACGAGGGGATCTCCATGGAAGTTTCTGACCCTGGGAATCCGGAGCTCCGTGCGACACGTGATCGATCATCATTAATAGACGAGGTTTGCTCGGACTGTCGGGTTCGACGGCGAATCCTGCAAGGAGCGAGGTCGGTAGAGTTTCCGTGCGTCGGTCAAAATAGACCTGGAACAGCTCCGAGGAAGATGTCCGCAGCCCCGGCTGCGAATCGCTGTGCCATTCTCAATGAATACAAGTTCGTTTTTCGGTAAAATTGGATATATTCGATGAACAACAAAATATGTACATTTATATCTTAGCGAGAAACTCGATTGGAAAACTAAATTTTCAACGGGAAATGAATCCGGTGTTTGATAATAATCTTTGTTTCTTGTTGCACTTCTTCGGATTTTTACATGTACATCGCTGAGGTCAACGCGTCGTCACATCAGTCAAGTAAACGAGTCATAAGCGAAAGTATGACATTTGTTCATCACCTCTCTCAAATAAGGATCAGAGTAAAATTTTAGGCCGCCTGTCAATTCATAAAGAAACCCATCCACCAAATCTAAATTCTCGGAACCTCCTTGCCGTGATAAATACGCATCCTTCACATGAAAGAACGAAAGATTTGAAACTTCGGAATCACCGTTTTCTCTCGGAAAGTTCACCCGTGTACCGCATCGTGCACATTTTCGAGCATCCGCGCCGCATATAAAACGGTCAACCTCTCAAATACTCAAAGTCGCATTGATGCAATTTCTGCAGAATCTGTAGATTGAAATACATGCGTGTGAAAATTGGCAGAAGTGCTGCGGGACATAATTGCGCTCTGAACGTAAACGGGATCAGCATGTGCATCGATACGGATGTAAACATTGCACGGAATTCAAGACCGCCATTCCGATGGTCTCTCGACCGATAATTGCCATGGTCGATTGGTGAATGAATGCTTGCGTTCGACACTCCGCCCCCACTGCTCCTGAGAATCCTTGTGGCGGCTCGAGTCGTTTCCCAATCGGGGAGCACCTGGCGAATAACTTAGAGTTCGTACTTTCTTTCTACCTGGCGAAAGGCACGACTGAGGAGATGCGGCGTGGTGAACGACGCTCCTGATATTTTCGTTTCGCGCGATTAAGGAAAGCTCTCCCACCGCTGAGAGATTTGAAACACGGATGCCGAAGGGCGTCGTCGTTCTTCAGCACGCCGACTGAGTGATGCTCAATTATGAAGGACGTTCAGATTCCGTACCATCGGATGACCGATGATAAACTGATAGAGGAATCATACCAACGAATAGACGAACAGACTGGCAGATAGACAGCGACGCAAGTCGTCACGAAGGAGGAAGACACTCGATTCTATGGTGCAGGTTTCCGTTACGATCATCGTCCATCACCGCCGTTGCCGTCGCCGTGAATGCGGTTCCCGTCACATTTTCGGAACTTCTATGTTATATTCCTTAAAACACTACAGTTTGCAGAAAGGCTGACCCTCTGTATTCTCATCACTCGGAATATCTTCGAAACTCAGGTTTGAGAAAGCCGCGGAGCTCGCTTTGTCTTTCTCTTTCTTGCTGGATGATTTCTTATTCTTCTTCTTGCCTGTAATTTTCGGAACTCTCTTGAGGATTTCGCCGCTTCTTTTTTCGCTGGAGCGGCGCTCCTGAATCTTCCCCGAAATCAAGTCCGATGTAGAGACGGAACCCGCGAAATACGCGTCGGGTGACTTCTTTGAGGGTCGGTCACCTTCGCCTACCTTGGGGTGAAGTGACTAGAAGCAGCTCGTTCTCCGGACTGGGCTCATCTCGTCGGGAGCCCTTCGTGCCCGAAAAAGGTATATCACCGAAGGAGTCGGAATTCACTCCGACAGCAACTTGTGGCCCCTCCTGGAACTGAAAAGTCACGCGAGGATGAGGTATCGAACCAGTGGATTCCGGAACCGCTGGAAGGATCATCATGCCACTTACCTTCTTTGCTGGACTGCAATTATTATTGTTGAGAGTCATCACAGTCGAGCTTGAGCTCTTCCGAACTTCTTTCGGCGCAGTGTCGGCATGGACACCGGACGAAACGACGGGACCTTCGCCTGCTCCGAACGCTGCAACTGTGTCATTCGTTTTCGGAGGAACCACAAGATCTTTGAACATTCCTGGAACTGGAAAACTCCGCGGTTCAATTTCACCGACCGAGAATCGGAGCGAGGACTGTGCGGAAGAACTTGGAGCCAGACGCGGGCTCTTAATATCGTTTGAGCTTAAATGGTTCATCTGAGAGCCGCCCTCACCACTAGGAACTCCGTGTGCAATATTAGACGCTGTTGTAACGTTGGGTGGGAAGTCTTCTTGAACTTCGACGAGAAGCTCGGTCTTCTCAGAATTGTTTGCGTTGAACGCTGCCGAGAAGCACTCGCTCTGCTGGCTTTCAAAGCCTGCCGAGGACGATAGGAAAGGATTTTTGGTTTCCCCGTTGACGGGACGAGCTTGGGAATTTTTTGGTTTTTCCTGAGTTTAGGAAAAGGGGCTTTGGCGAAAACGTCTTCATCCTCGTGATTTGTTTGGGTGTCAGCTTCATCATCCTCCAGGAGCGGTGTTCCACCGTCGGAATTTTCTCTATCGTTTGACAGCTTGGCTCCCTTATGAGGCGATTCTGAAATTCACGATTATAACATGAAGAGTGTACAACCCTGTTGGTCATGAGATGGATCGGGTGAGGAGTCCATCCCGGATCAAGATGCTGATCCGAGCTTGGGGAAATAATGAAATCGACAGTTCCGATCCAATGAAGCGAACGGATATTTTTGCGCAGGATTTTCAGCTCACGCTGTAAGTCGGAGGCGGAACCGATCGAATCGTCGGAGTCCTCGGACTCGCCGTCGCTAGATTCTTCAGGACGTTCTCTCTGGTGGAAGTCGCTTTCGCCTGTAGTCTGCGGCGCCGAGTCATTGGCATCTGCGTTCTCATGCTCTGCATCTAATCGCCCGTAGCCCTCCTCGCTGGCAGCCCGCTCCTTTTGTCTTTTCTTCACTGTTGCCGCTGTGAACAGTCAGAGTACCTCCGCGTTAGACATAGAGAAGATTCTCTCCGAACAGGAGACACACATCCAAGCAGCGCCACATCAGACGAGCATGAGGACGGAGGACAAAACCCGCGGGACCATCGACGACCGGGCATGGAAGGGACGAATAGCCGGTCCCATATGCAATAAGCAACTCCGATTGACCCCTCTGGATTTTGGAGAGGCTCCTCGGACATCGGGAAAGCCGGATGAGGGCAAAGACACGCAGCTTTCTTGTCACTAACCGCGTCATAAAAAACTCGGCGTATCTGCGCTCGCCCAACGGTCGAGCCATCTGAACCCTCCTGTCGAATCGATTCGCTACGTTCACTCAATGGTCAAAGTTCGGTAAACATCATGTGCTCCACTGTTGAAAATGCTTGCAGGTCGCGTGCATGCACCAATACGAGACCTCCACTCACCGATGGCTTTGTTGAAAGGTGCGGCTCCGAACGGGTCGACCGCTTGCGTAGTTTTGCCCTCGTCTCCGGGGCCACCGGTCCACGATCCTGTTGACGACGAAACACTGCCCCCGACTCCACTTGATCGTATCGCATCGAAGGCCTGACCGAAAGCGTCTTCGGCCGTGTGCTGCTCCCCAGGATTCGAACTCGGGCTCTGGGAAGTACAGCAAGCAAATGAATGGTTTCTGTGGCCTGGAGCGCCGACAGAACGGAGCTCGGTGAGGAGTCGATAACAGTAACGGATATCCGCCGATCGATAGCTACCTGGCCTTGAGGGTATTGGCTAGCTGGCGGAACGAAAGTGTCTTCGGCGAACGGATTCCAACCAGCGAGTTTGACGGGAGCATCGGTTTCAGAGTTCGGCTGATTCGTCGGTTTCGAAAGCGGCGTGACGGGAGGAATGGGGCTCACACCCACAGGAATGTTCACGGATGACGAAGAACACTGAATGGGGGTTTCTGATTGGCCAGACGGGGCGAGAACCGGTAAGCTACCGATCGTTGGCAGCGTACGCTCTCTTCCCGCCGAGTTGCCTTTCGGTCGCTGTCTGATGTTCACAGAAGTCCCCGAGGCGGACTCGGAGCGAGGCGTGACGCGCTCCAGCCGCGGGGTTGTGACCTGAATTTTATTTCGATTAGCCAACCGATGTTCGGGAGTAATATACCTCAACCGGTACGAGTCGATCTAATTGAATCGATTCGGCGATTTCCCCGGCACTTCGAGTGGGATTCCTGCGAGTTGCACTCACTTTCGGAGGTGGCGAGACTGGTGCAGCCGCTGCTTCGGAGACCTGGGGCAACTTTTCCAAATCGGGTTTAGCCGCTTTGTTCAAATTCCTGACGGGACATTCCTTCCCAGCTAGTGTGAAAGCCACATAGGACACTTGGTAGATATCGGGTCGGAGATCACAATCGGTCTCGAGGCAGTAACGGATGAGTTGATGCAGCGGTTGAGAGTACTTGGAGTTCGCTGGTATCGAAAACTGCCCGGATTGAATCGCCAAGGGAGACTCTCCGAAGGGCGTGTTGAAAAAACACAGTTTGTACAGCAGACATCCAAGAGCCCAGATGTCCGCTGCCGTAGTAATTGTCTTCTTCGAGAAGAGGTCAATCATTTCTGGGGCCCGATACGCCAGCGTGGTGTATTTGTTGATTTCCTCTTCGATCTGGAATAATCGAATAAGTATGCCCATCGATTCTGATGACGCTTCCGGTCCTCCAGTAGTTCGAGATATCCGTGAACCTCTAGCGAAATACGCTCGACGGCTTCTTACCTGAGTGATAGGATGCTTCTGAGGATTCAACATTTTGGCGGTTGCTGATCCAAAGTCGCACAGGATATAGGTTTCGCTGTCATTCGAAACCAATATGTTCTCTACTTTCAGATCTCTGTGGATAATCGGCGTCTGACAATGATGCAGGCGTGACACGCCCTCGCAGATGTCGCAGAAAATCTTCAAAACCTTCAAGAAATTACAAGTTCGTTTATTCACAGTCCCGGTCCATCCGCAGACCCGGATTGGATCACCGAGCCATCCGGCCGGCATGGAGATCGCATAGTCAAATCATGCTTGCAAGATGAGATTGTCGTTAGCTGGTGCTCGTGCTCGGGTCGATCGATATACATCTAACTCGTTGAATTAGCGATGTATCCAAAAGGCCAACCTTTTCCTGAGAGAAACATTGTCCCTGAGAGAGCTTCTCGTTCATCTGTTGCAGGACGTGTCCTTTGTAATAGTTCATAACCATCAAGATTTCATACACTCCGTTCCCAACGCTATTTATGCTACTATCAACAAAACCTGCAAGGAGGAACGAGGCCTTGAAGAGACAGCCGCTGACGCTCCTCTGACTTTACGAAGTTCGCATGTCTTTTCAGAAGTTCCCGCCGGACGACCAGTCAATGCCTGAGCAATAGCTACGTCACTCGTGGAGGTGACTGTATAGCACCACTTACCGATGATGTTTTTGTGACCCGAGAGACTGGAGGCAATTTGAATTTCCCGTTTACAACACTGCAGATCATGGTCGTTATTTACAAACATCCGTTTAAGAGCGTATCGGACGCCTCCGGACGCTTTCACGAGGAACACCAGCGCAAAACCCCCTGAAAGGCAGGAATACATGGAATGATGCCTCGTCCTCCACGAATTCGCGATCGATTACCATCTTATGTAATTTCCCAGTGGAAGATCACATTCGGTTTCTAATCGTCGGAATTGAGAGATTCCGACCTTGTCGGTCGCGACCAAGGTAAAATAAGCCAACGTGGGAGTTTTCGGACTCTCATCGTAAATGAGAATCTCGTGGTGAATAAAATGAATCATTCGGAATACACAGGAATCACCGTCCGCCGTCGACTATGCAACGAAGATATCTCAAATAGAATCACGGATTTCTTGAATCAGCGGCTGCGTGTCAGGTCAGATAGAACTTCATCGAGTGCCTTAGGGTTCCGAATATCCGAAATACACTTCGTGCCTATATCAAAATCCTCGGGAGCGTTTCCGGGTCCCGATAGCAAGCACGTGCACGTTCCATTCTTTGTCCGATCACGGTACACGGTAAGATTCTGTGTTAAACCCACTCTGAAGCGTTAGGTCCCGATTGCGGAACATCAGCAGGTAAACCGAGGTTCGCCACGATCAGCGATACCTGTCAATTCTCTGGCGGACTGGGAACGCTCACTACGAACTCCGAGGGTCTTCCGGACCCTTGAGAGATCAATTGTATGAGGGGCCAAGCACTGAACTTCGAATCTAGAGATTGAGGCGTATCACCTGCTCTTGGCTCTCTCCGCAGGAGTGTGGGAACACCTTGGAAATTCATTGAATCCACTGGAAGGGGAGAACGTTCGATAGAATACTCACCTTCGGCGATAACATCTTCGACTACCACACTGATCCGTCCCACCTGGAAAACTTTCCCCACAAAACTTCCACCAGCCCCTTCTTTGGACTCGGTTTTCTCGTTCTTCCGTTGGAACAGTTTTTTCATCTTGCCTCCGAAGGGCCGCGGCTAAGATCCCTAGAACATGACTGTCTTTCCGCACGCCTTATGCAAGTCGTACTTGCTGAATTGTAGGTGGCCGCAGTCAGTCAGTCAGTCACTCAGCCAGCCAGTTGGTCAGGCAGACAGGCAGTCAGTCAGTCAGTCGGTCGGTCCGTCCGTCCGTCCGTCAGCCGACGACCAGCCAGAGAGCAGGATTGCACACTGGAGCAGCAGCAGCAACACCACCACCACTTGGAGCTGTCAGACGTCGGTCACTACCCACACCAGATCACAACAGAGAAGCTCGGCCTCGCGTGGCGCCAAGTTCGAATACACCAAGATACAGTGCGAATCCCGAAAGCTCCGTTTCGAAGCTCCGGAGCCAACTGACGGAGGCTCCTACCGGCCGGGAGCTAATGTGACACTGGCGATCCTCGTCCTGCTAGAACTCTAGTCCCTTCCCGATGAGGATCCAGAATCATGACGAGCTCTGTCATCGTTCGTCGACCACAGCCACAGCTGTTTCGCCGGTCGTCTCTCCTATGAAATCTCTCCTGCAAGCACATGAAATTCGGCCTGTGTGATTGTACGCGTTGTGAGGCGTACTCCTGTGAGCTTTTACGTATGCTGAGTTTATGGGAAGCGCGGACGGAAAAACGCGGGGTGAAATCATTCGAAAACGAAATCTGTCGATGGGAGAGTGGAGACGGTGATGTCGATGATCCATGCTTGAGCGGGATCGGGCGGTTCCTGCCCCTGGTTTTCGATCCTTTTCCCACACGGTGGTCTCACAGTACCTTTCGGTTTGGAGATTTCACGGACATGACTCACAGTCCAGACATGAAATTCGGTTTGTACGCTCTTACGCTTCATACAGCGTATTTTTGTACGCCTGTCCTTATGCTGAAGATAGCTCACGATCTTACGCATCTGAGTCAATGGGAAGCGCGTAAAAAAAGTACGCGGGGTGTAATTCCCCAAGAATGGAATCTATCGATGGGAGAGAAAAAACAAGAGAACGATGCTGATGATGTTTGCTGAGATTCTGACTGGTGTCTGGCGGAGACTTCCATTATTTTTTAAATCTGACTTTTCGATCATCGGGATCACGGACGAACGAAACGGAATCACCACTCCTCTGTGGTTGCGGTCTTCTCGGATTGCTCGGAACATTTCATAGGTGCCCCTAGGATCCTATTTTCGCTAGGTACCTTTCAAAGAGCGAAATTCCGGAGAGGATCCTGCGGCAATACGAGGCGCCGAGTGAGATTCACTTGATCTGTCGAGCGCATTGGCTCGTTGTAGAGGGCAACGAATAGTTTTTCTACGGGCATATACTCACTCCAGGGCCGGCTGCCAACTGGTGCTACGGATCCTTAAGCTATTCGCAAGTTTTGACGCAAAACAAGACCCCGCGTCCAGAAGAATAGTCTTCTCGAAAAGGATTGTTCCTTTCCAAGGTCGTGCGAGACTTCACATTGATTCGCCGTCAACTGACGAGATGGTCAAGAGATAAGTGCGTCCCCGTGCGGAACGTGCTCCCAAGCCTCTCCTCCCCCCTCAGCAATTCTCCCGCTCTCTCGGAGTATGAGAGCGGTCGCCAATTCGGATTCCAAGTCCCATACAGATCCGAACCTGGAGATGAAATACGCTGTAAGAAAATAGCAGTTATGTACTGCGAAGCCGGAGACCCCTGAAACGTATCGGTCGAGACAGCCTCGAACTTGTGCTACATGAAAACGATGCCGAAGTTGGCATACGGAACGGGGCGGGTGTGGGAACACCTCTCCACATGAAGCTCCAAGGCGTATGAAAAAATCTTCTGTACATACCCAAGTTTTCAGAGTCTCGAAGAATGCACTGATCTATAAACACTAGCAGGATTGGAGTCACCATTCGTCGGGAGTATGTCTACTCAGCCTCTCTCTCGCAGGGATTTCCGCGTCAGCTCAGGGCTTCTCCCTGTTCCTCCAGCTAATAGTTTCTCGTCATGGTTTCATCTAGGATTCTAGTGTTGCGCTCCCATTCTACCTCGCTCGAGAGCATTTGCTCCAGGATCTCTGAGACTGTTCGGGCCGTGATCCCTTGCGTCCACGAGGTGAAAGACATTCAAGGATCGTGTGATGCGCGCAGTCTATTTTTCCGCTGGCGCACCCAATGCAGAACTCTAATGGCGCGAATTTGCTCGCGGCGAGGTATTCCCTGAAATCCTCGGGGAGCACCTACCTTGTTCAATAGGTGAGCTCTCTCTCCATGCCCTCCCAAGCCACCTGCTCAGTCTGGGTAATTGCTCTTTATTCCATGGATTCCGTCTCGACTGCGTTCGGACCACATCGGCGACTCCGACTCCTCTTCTCCTCAAAGAGCTCAGTTCGCTATGCGGCAAGCGGACTCCACGGAGTCGTTCGCGCCAGATCGAGAGCGGCTTCTGTAGAGATCATCTTATACGCTCTGGTGATGCGAATGGCCATTACTCTCTGGGTTTTCTCCAGTAGGTCCCGGTGTTTCTTGAAGGCGAGAGCTCTGGAAGCCCATATCGGTGCTCCGTATATTGCGATCGATTCGGTCACCTAAGCTCGCATTCCCTGCTGAAATCACTCGCTCCGTATTTTCTCGGAAGGATTCTGGCTGTGCTCGTCGCCACTCGTGTTGCTTCCTGGGGGTTTCTTCGATGTGCGTCTTCCTATCAGGTTTCGCTCCAAAATAATTCCTAGGTACATTGCATTCTCTTGATCTGGATTCTCTCGTTCCCCATTCCATTCAATTGAAGGCGTTCTTCACATCGAGAAGCACGACGAGCGTTTTCGCTCTCCTTCTTAGTGGCTTCTGTAGTTCCGCGTTGACAGTGTCGTACACGTTTCCCAGTGTTGTTCTTTTCGACTTCGATGCCTTCTAAGGAGCAACTTGAGCGGGTCGATTCCGACCATACGCTCTGAAGTCTCTCGAGCGGCAAGGTCGAGACGTTCGTTTGTCCGACTGGATGGAGAAGACCGAAGACGTTCAATGAAGACAGGCGAGACAGTAAAAGAAAATCGGGACAGGTATACAGGGGCTTCAGAACCAGATCGTCCAATCAACGATTCCTGGGCGGGCATCCCGCGCCATTCGGGTTCCACCGCCCGCTAATCATTACTCTCCCCGAGGGGATCTTCCACCGAGTGTCAGCTGTCTGACTGGATACCTGCTCCCCCTGGTGGAAGCCGTACCGCTCTCGGACAGGTTCGAGATACATTTGGAAAAACTGAGAACTTCGCTTAGAAACACCTCGGCGATTGCTCTGGTCCGCGACGAGGGTACAGACCCCAAAGATCGATATAGCTTCAACTCGCTTGTCGTTGATTGTTTGAAGACACAAGCTACGAGCCTCACTCCCGAATTCGGAAGTTCTGGAGTCATCGAACCACAAAACCGTGAGCGGAACTGTCCTCAAAGAGCTTTACAAAAGCGAGATTCCGCTGACGAATATTAGCGCCTTTCTTACCGACACCGCCTTGTGCATGCACATGGGTTTGAGCTCTCGTTTTAGAGCCGTGCTCCTGAACGCTCTTCACGTAACGTGTACAACTCATCTGCTCAATTCGATATGCTTAATATGGCTCAAAGAGTTCCGAGCTGTGAACGAGTCGGTGGTCACAATCAAGAAGGATTTCTTGGCTTTTCCGTCGCGTGAAGCTCGGTTACTGCAGTATCTAAGAGCTAAGGGCGGATCCGGAAAGCGCAGGCCCCTGCTTCGCCAGCCAGTTTGGTGGAGCTCAAAACCCCCGACGAATACAAGGTCTACAATGTGACTCCGGGGAGGCGCGAGAACTTCCTGCTGAGAGATAGTGGGCCAGAATCGGATCGCTTTCTGATATTCGATCGTCAAAGAAGCATCTCTGAATTGAAGCGTAGTAAAACTCGGTTTGTCGATTGAGCGTTCTCTATCGCACCGCCACTCTCCTGCCAAGCCTACTTAATCCTCGCAGAGGTGAATGGCGGCGTGCATCCTTTCCTCTACGCGCTCCTTCCGAAGAAGACAGAAGTGACGTATGTATGTACATTCGGATGTGATCAAACGTGCTTCCCAGTATGAACTCAAGTACGGTGTACAGTATCAATATATCAAAGTACTTCAGGACCGAGCATCACGATGCAGCATAATTCATCTCCGATGAGGGATGCGAAGTTAGCCTATCAGATACGGCAGTTTCTCTCTGAGGATGTCATCGTCCCCCTCAATCGAAGTCACTCCTGCTCCGTAGAACTTGCCCGTCGCTTTATTTCCCTCAATCATATTCGGACTCATCGTTCATAAGAATGGGCTCGACGGATTTTTCGCGCATCCGCTGTCATAGCAGCTGTTACCTTGTGTGAGTGGATATGGAAACTGTGACCATCATCCGGAGCCATTCGGCGTTCGACAAGGTGAGGTCTTCAGTAGTAAACTCGGTTGTCCACGGTGGATGCATCGATTTGCGGTAGATCGGTGGTGCGGGCGAAAATTTGGAAAGCCTTCGACAACTATAAAAAGACGAGTCAGTACCAAAGTCTTCCGATAGAGCCGGGGCGGGACACTCCTGAATCGATGAATCGGATCTACCTGACGCGTGCACGTGGACTGACCTGGCTTGAAAGTCTCCGTCTATCGAGAGCATTTTCCGGTGCGCTTTGCGAGGGCTCACTGTCGCTAGATCGCTCCCACTCTTCAATTCGTAGACTGTCAGCGAGTTTCTCGATGAGTACATGCCGTAGTTTCTCATCCTCGACGCTCCAGCGTTTCTTCCTCGGTGGATCGAAGTCCAGAGGAATTTGAGCGACTCTCGGATCGGTGAGTTTCAGAGCTGAGCCGTTCACTGCGTTCCCTGGGTACAGGAAACCTCATTCAGAGGTTTTCAGGCTAGGATGGCATGGCCGTCCTCAGATCGGAGGGCTCATGGGTCCATATAACTCACTCTTATTCAGGCTCGTGCCGACCAGCTGGAGCGAAGCGAATCTCTGCAGCCAGAGTTGGAGTTCCTCTTGCAATCTCTCATCTCTGACTTCACATACAGCGTCCGTACAGTTGATTGCATCCATGAAAGCGGCACACTGCAAGAGGAGGGAAAAAGACTATGAATTTATTCCGCCATTTGAGATTCATGTTCATTCACAGCTAGAGTTGATATAAATATATGTATATATATCGAGGTCGAGAAAAATCACGAGAAACGCCGCAGGGTACACTTTTGGCCTCATACGCTGAGCCGCTCCCGACGCATCCAATGGCGATGTGATCCAGGAGATATCGTTGATGAACACAATATGCAGCGGAGAATATCACGATGTCGGGGCCTTACCTGTTCTGATGCGTCACCGCTGGAGTAGGTCCAGGTCCTCCCCGAATCCGGAGACCAGTTCGAATGATCGTAATGCCGCCTCCTCTCCATTGTTCCTGGAGGGATATATTCTCCTTGTCATTGTAGCCGTTATATCGAAGTCTGTTGTCACACACAATTCAATCATGATTCATGATGTATTCGCGGTCAATAATTCAATGGCTGGGTCTTATTTGTATGATGATTCGGTGGCGTTTTGGATGAACGACGCGGGTCGAGGGGGGGAAGGAGGGAGGGAAGTCTCGAAGGATTGTAGCTGATCTAAAAGTGCCTTCACGGAATTCGCCCTAAAGAATAATCCGTACCCCTTCCAGCTTACTCAATCGATGATCTGGAGATTCACGCACTCGCTCCCGAAGAGTGCAGAGCACCGCATTCTCGGTTGCCTTGGTTACGGAGTACTCATGGAGCTACCCTCAGACCTTGGAAGCTCAGGCGGCTAGAATTGGCAATCTAGACCGTCAGGAGAAAGCAGAATAGGCAGCTTGAATAAGCGACATTAGCGCTCATCATAAACAAAATAAGCAGCGAAAAGACGAATTAGGCGAGGAAGGTCTTTGCCCTGGGCAAGGTAGACACTTATACGAATATGCCAGACAGGCCCCCTACATAGAGAAGGGAGGCTCTTGGTACAGATCGAATGAGGCATGTAAGTCAGACGATGGTTCCCGAGGTGATTCACGTCAGCATTCCTATTCCATCGACATTCCCGGAGGCCATCCGGAAGAGGTCCCAAAGAGCTCGCCTTGTTGGAGGCTCGATCCCAACTGCCAGCGTGGATTCCACGGTGTCCGCCTGGTCCACGCTCTCACGATATCCGGGTCCTTGAAGTCCGGGCTGTATGATCTGGTCCTGGAAAGAGGGAATCCAGAATCGATCGGCCCCCGAACTGTGTCCGAAGCGAAAATCTCCAAACTCGTTCTCATTTCGAGAATATCGTGAACAGCGAGAGGATTCCCCGGAGACGGATTGACCGCCCGACAGGATGTCCTTGGGATTTCGGTTTGGCTTCCCGTGGGGATGCTTTAGTTCGTCTTGAACGATCTCTGCGATCACTTCCGGTCGCTCATCGCCGATTAGTTTCCTCGGCACTGGCGTTCGCGAAAAATCCCGCTCCCTTCTACGGAGCTTCCGATATACGGATGCGTCTATCACATGCTCCTGAGAGAGCAAACGAGGACGCTTGATTCTCGAACCTAATCCCTAGGTCACCCCATCTACATCTTTGTCCTTTTCGCAGTATCAGAAGTCGTCAATGAGCAGATATTAGAGTCTGTGCCTAGACCATGCGACATGCCATGCCCAGAGCCCCTGATTGCTCCGGATTTGGCGCGTCGCTCAGCCCTCTCAAAGAGAGATGCCCTCTCCTGTTGGTTTCCCTCGATCAAATGTTTTCAACTCCCTCTGATTCGGAAGAACTTCCCCAATGGAATCCCGTTCCATCCTGAGCAGGATTTTGAACGTACGCTCGTCCAATCGGGGAAGGATGGCTCTCCATTTGATTTTTCTCGCAAGTCGCATAGTGTCGTCTGCTCTCTCTACGCGGAGCACTCACGGGTTGAACTCTACCGGTATACACAGCTGAGAGGAGCTGGGTATATCGAAGCAAAAAGAGTTCGAAAATGATTATCGTATAAGTGCTCGTCTACTCGGAGGCTTGGCTTTGGATTTCTGAAACCCGAGGAAACTCGTCAGCGGTCAGCGGTGTTCCTACCCTGCGCTCCGGATCGAAGAGCTGAAGCTCGGCTCCATGAGCAATCGAGACTGACCGACTCGGTCTGTCCGTGGTCGAGTTCGTCTCCAAATGAACAACCCTTCCGTAAGTCTCTCTTTCATGCAGTTGCCTCCCTGATTCAGGAGTGAATCTCGCTCCCAATCCAAAGCAGATTCTCTCCGGCATGCCAAGCGCGCGTTCTCCCTGTACCCTCGAGGCTCAGGATCTTCTTAGCGGCCCGGAGGCTTCTGTGTAGGGAGTTCAATGATAATCATTCGTGGTCTCTCGGCGATCGAATCTGCTTCTCGGTTCGACCGATTTCGTGCCAGCAACTCGGTCGGAGACCGAAAATTGCGGACATCACTGCCGTTCGATGGGGAGGACGATTCGGGCCTCATCTCTCAAAAGTGTTATCCCGTTGCAGATGATGACGACCCCTGCCCTGCCGATCAAAGTTTCGACGACATTGGCTTCGGTCGTGACGGAAGCGAAAACAAGCTCGAGTCCCCTCAGTGTGACCCAGAGCATAATTCAGACAACCAAGAAAATCACAGCGGCGATCACGGAAGTGAGTTCTCATGAGTACAAATTCAGTCGCGAGAATCGCGTCGTAAGACACCATCGTTGCATAAGACGAAACCCTTCCCACGGGGTGGCCTCAGCCAGAGAACGGCCGTCCCCATGGCATAGAGAGACATACTCGTTCATGTATGTACAATATATTCGGCTCACGGGGAGAGAACATCGTTCTAGGCCCATGCCAAGCTCGAGAAGACGCCAATTGAACCTGAGGACACCCCGAAGGCAGTCGTGATCGATTCACGGACTGGGCAGATCTTCAGATTGGATCCGTCGCAACGTAAGTCAATCCGAGTTTGCCTGAATTCTGCTCATATCGTGCGAGTGATCACAATCCAAATTATCCTCCTGTGTGCGACGTCGATGCGAACTTCTGTCCCTCTACACAGCTCTCTATGAGGACGATTCCCATGTATTCGTCTATTTCATCCTCGCGATGTTGATCTGCGCCGTCGGCTACATAGCGTTTCACAACAAACGAAAGGTGAGCTGGGGCACTCAGATCGACTCTGGATTTTGCTCTGGATCCGCGCTGCGGGAACACTACCGGCTAAACCTTGTAGCTCTCGGTACGACCTGGAACTCTTACATTGCAGATCCTCGCTCTCGTCATTGAGGGTCGGCAAAACCATGGCGAAGTTCGAAGGTCGGGCAATGTTAATTACAAGAGACTGAATACAGAACCGCCAGGCGTCTCGGTTGCTTGAGTAGATTAGCGAGATGAACGAGAATCCAGAAATCATTGTGGTATTTTGCACTCGACCGTTGGGAGGTACATAGGTCGTTGGCTTCGACGTTATCGCCATGCACCAACTTAATCTACAATATGATCTTGTCATCACTAGAGTTTGAGTTTGAGGAAAGGTTCGAGTCTATTATACATACATGAGAACCCTCATCCAGCCGTACTGTCGGCATGGCAACCGTCAGAAGACGTGTCACGAGAGCTTTCGGAGTTTTCCGTATCGACCGCTGGATGAGCGAGCCAGTACCGTGTTTTTCATCCCGATGAATAGTTTGAATGATTACATCTTGAAAGTAATTCAAAAAAGATGCTGATCAATAAAAAGTCTGTATATCTCCGAATATCAATTTTTTCTGCTAAGCACGTGTTGCACAGCAAAGTTGCCTGATCCGATTCTCTGGAATGCCGAACGGAATTTCGGACTTCACCCCTGCGTCAGAGGAGAAACGATGCTGCAGTGGGTCCGCACGCTTGTCTCGTATATCACGCTCACATGCCGGGATTCCTCGATGCACGTCCGACCGTCTCCGACGTGGAACGTTCCGTCGATGGTTTCGGGAGCCACAGAGAAAAGAGAACGCGATTCCCCGTCGACTGCTCGGCTGACGGCCCGCAAGATCTGCAGAAATGTCAAAAATCGAGCTATTATGCGTGTTGTCAGCGATTTCTTTCACATTGGTGTCAAGCTGTGGTTTCCCGGGAAGTCCAGCGCATGCGAAACTCCTCACAACTGATGATCGATTCATGGAAGGCACCGTCGTTACGTGAGTCCATGTTCGAATCTTTTAACGGAAGGTCCAACACGACATGGGAAACGACTTCTTCAAAATGATGTGATTCGATGAGCGTTCCCTTATAGAGGAGGGCTCTGTAGGATCCCCTAGATCTAGTTCGGCAGATCACAGAATGAGTCTCTGCGTATTTCCGGACTTGACCATCCAGGATCGTCGAAGATACAGAATCGGATATCTCTTGTTTGACATTGAAGGTTCGAATGCGACCCTGGTTACCAGCTGCTCGGGCGCTCGATGCTGCGGTGTGTCAACTCCGAATGGGACTCCCCGGGACTACCTTTTTGTGTTCGCGAGGTAAAGTCGCGGAGCATTCCGACACTTCAAAGCTCCGCGCAGCCGACTCATTGTTCCCTTTGTATACATGGTTGCTATCACTTAGGTCCGAGGACGACTGAATTTTCCAGATAGCGTTTTCCAAACCGTCCGGGATGTCCTCTCGGAGCGAAACAGCAGCACTTGCAGCCGACGATCAAGTTTCTACTTGTGCTGAGACGAGCTTCAGGAGAGAACATAGCTGGTGGGTCGATCTCATCGAAACCAGCTCAATCCACGTGAGTCATTCGTTACAGCCATCTATGGACTCTAATTATCGATTTCGATCCGTTCTGCTGACTGAGCAGTTCTCCGCCTCGACATGGATCGCAATTCGACCGCTCATTCGGTCGCGGGTCGGAATGGGAGTCCCTCGGAAAACTCGTCAGGATGGCGCCCCGATTCCGGGTTCTTCCGTCGGGGTAGTCGGCAGGGAACCCTGGTTCAGCCCGGGATATCGTTGTCGAGAAGGGGTCTCATGTCGAGATGGCTCTCTTGCTTTCTAGATCGTCGAAGTTCACTACGGATCAGAGATGAAAAATCTAACGGTTGACATAACGGTCAATGATCCAAAATCGAACTCGAGTTCGCGATGCGTCCGCCGTACCGACCTTGTCACCCACCTCACATCGGCGCACTATTTCATTTGCAATCAGACGGCATTTGGCAGGAATCTCTCGCTCAGCATATCGGCCGAAGAAAAATTCACTCTAAAGCTATGTGAAGTCAGAGTCTACTCGCAAAGTGTGCTCTCGCCGCAGGACGCTTGTGGAATCGGGAACAAAGGGAAAATCGAAAGCCTCAAGGTACTCGCTCTTTCCCGTCGGTGTTCGAATGCGGGGTTCTCAGAGCTACGCTTTCCGACCACGAGTTCGTTTCCTCTTCCAGGGTCGATGTTTCGAAGTGACCCCCTCTGAGGCCTCTTTCGTCGAAGCCAATGACTTTTGTGCATCGCAAGGAGGCATGCTGTGGAGCGGCGATCAGTCAGAATTCGTCTCATGGATGATGTTGGTTCATAATCTGGACAGTGTTTGGTATGGAGATAAGGAAGTCATAGGGAAAAAATCCTCCGCGCCGACGAACTGCACGGCATTCACGCGAGACGACCAATTCGCCGGGGGCAGTCTGCGAGATACGAATTGTACCGAGGTCAGGTTCGGAATATGTGTGCGACCGCCCCGAACGTGTGGCAGGCCTCGGCTGCCGAGGCACTTGGCAACCTGGAACGACATCGGTGAGTATTTCGAACCCGGTACTTCTCCTCTGAGCTTCAATTCGAGCGTATGTCCTTCACCCCGACAGCGTCTTGATTCATGGTTCGACGCTCAGGATTCATGAGAACGCTTTCCGCTATCCTAGGCAAGGCTGTAACCGGCAGAGTCGTCAAGGGTTTCACCTGCGAAGAAGGATTCCATTTGAGTGGTCCAACAGATATCCCATGCCTCGATAGCGGGGAGTTCCGGAATCAAATGCGTAGGTCCTAAACCCGATCGAATGTGTGATCAACTCCCGCGAGAATATTTTCCACCTTCACGCAGTCTGAGCCTCAAGGAACTCTTGGTTTCTCCAGAGACTACGTGCCGTCAGTCCGTTTGTGGCGAACCCCCCAAAGTTGCCAACGCCTACCCTGTCCTGGTTCCTGAAGCCCGCTATTACTGTCTTAATGACAGTTTCGTCTTATACGGTCCTCCGGAGATGAACTGTGATCCTCAGAAATCCCAGTGGGCGACCCCTCACGTTTTATGCGTTCGTCTGACGCTAGACACCAAACCTACCATCAGGAGTCTCCGTGATCGTCTGCTGCAGGTGCCGATTTCAGAAGACTGTCCCCGATATCAGTGAAATTCGTTGCGACATTATTCTTATCTAGGCGAAGCTCTTCTTCTCAAACATGGATACTCCAAACAGGGTGTGAAGCTATATCCCACAGCGAGCAGAGTTGGCCTCGTCCTTTTCATCATTATTCTGGTTCTCTTGAAAATTTTGCTGGCTGTTGCCGTCATCAATCTCGTTCGGTACTACCGGGTGGAGAAACCCAAGCTGTATCGGAAGCACAATAGCGGGTAAATATGTATATCAATGTAGCGTTATGTCGTCAGAAAAGAACGGATCGCATGAAATGTCGAGCACCGCGATAAGCGCAACGCAATAATATTGCACCTTCATCTAGCATCATGCTGAACTCTATGCATCACGAGCTGTCGCGGGACTCAGCTCCGGGACCGGCGAGCACCGAAGAAAATAACAACCATCTCAGCCCAAACGCGAACCCTGAACTGGAGCTGAGTACGGGAGACGCGCAAGTGGTGACACGATCGACGGGTTCGTCGACGCCGAAAGCTCCGCGGACGCCGAACATGCGACTGAACGAGAGCAGCATCAGAGAGGGCAGAACGAATCATTCATTTTAGCTCCGGAGCGGTTCAGGTCATCATATCGAGATTATGGATCTGATGCTCGTGGACTCTGTAGGCGACGTACTTAAGTGATCGGCTGACACCATTGGCGATTTTACCAGGAAGAGTCTGCGTAAACTTCGACTGTCAGCTGATGAGAACAAGCTTGATTACTCGAATAGGAATTTATTGTAGCTTTTTATCCCTTGAAAAAAAATTGTTGATTTCATGTGAATCGCTGTTGTTGAAACACTACCCTCCTGCACAAGAAGAACTTGGCAGGCTTGATTTGCAGCCACGAACTCCGTGCATGAGGCATCCAATAAACGAAAGTAGTCGATCCGTGGAAAGGTCATGACCTCAGTCTAGTGTTTAACTTTGAAAATCTAGAATCTCTGGACATCCGGATCCAGTTGCCAATTCTGGATACTATCAGATATCCAGTCGAGGTGTGCCGAAACTTTCGTGGAGACAGCTGGCATATCGGGTGCCGCGCACGAGAATCCGAACGAGACGACGCCATACTGAATGTGCCGTCCCCTTTGGCGTACCATCACTGGACCGCCGGAATCTCCCTGAAAATCGAAGGGGACCAAAACGTGCTTCTCAATGTCTTGGGGGTTCTGATTTCTGATCCATAGAGAGGGACGCCGTTCCCTCAGAGATTCTTCTCGAGAGAGAATCGAAGAAGACTCACGTAGCAGGTGTCGGTGTCGTTTCCGAGCGTGCATATCTGGACTTCGGGATCAAATGATACCAGCTTCAAATTCGCATATTCACTGCACAATTCGCCGGGCATCATCACAAGGTCGGCGAACATCAAAACTTGGCTACGTTTAGCATCTGAGGAAAACCGAAGCATGAGAATATTGCAACAGAAGTCTCCGGATCGCAGCTTCTCTCAGCGCTTTTTCTCGGTCCGACGCGATCCTGGCTCGAGTCTTTGCATAGCGGCCTCACCTCTGTGTTTCGTTTTGTCTTTGTTGAAGCCCCAGCCCGCTACTGTCGCGATCACATTATCATCCGGAGTGCCGATGAAATATTTGTCGCTGGGAACACAGATCGGCCTCGCTGTTCTGTGATCGACGCGATTGTCCAGTCGCAGCAGAGCGATATCATGCTTCTCTCTCGGCACTCGACCGTAGTCTGGGTGCCTGTGAAATCGATGTAATCGATGATCTGAGCCCTTTGATTCAGTTCATGGTCAGACATAGTCTTCAAAAACGTCAGGAGACCTAATAACGACCTCGGGTCGAATCTCGACTCACATTTTGTATGAATGTACAGGAATAGGATCGCCATCCGTTTTGTTAACGACTCCGCAGACCACTTCCATCGACGTGGGGGGAACGCCGCTGCGGGGAATCGGCATCGAGCTTAACAAGGAGAATTAAGAGCATATCGGAAGGCTGAGAATTCGCTCGCGATCGATCGCTCGCTCGCTCGCAGAAGGAGGGCAACTGGGACTCCGGACTCGGTCGTCTTACATGGAAAATACTTACGCCTGGAGAAGGCAATGCGCCGCGGTGAGGACATATCGAGGGGTGATGATTGAAGCAGCGCACATGAAACTTATGTCATCTCGGAATATCCGAAGGTACGACAGCCACGGAAATTGACCTTCCGCAGCTACTTTCCCATTTACCACTCTCGGTTTGACTCCGATCATCCCGCATTCGTTCGAATTGAGCCGCGTGTCTTCCTCCGTGTCCATCTCCGGCTCTCCCCGTGTCTTTTGCTCCATCGGTAGGTTTTGATCGTCTTCAGCGGTACTCCGACTCCGCATGAAGGCTCTCTCCAGTTCTTGTCGGGACGCAATGCGAGGCATCGCTGGGAAAGACCCCTCGTCCTCGAAGCGCTCGCTCTGAATTCTCCGATTCTGTGAGGATGCGGGAGCCGAATGATCTTGACGTAGGGTGGCCCTGATCGTTTTAATTTGTGATTCTGCTCGAGTTGATTGTGTCGGTCGATCTCGCTGATCGCTCTCCCGTCGAAATTCGAAGTCTTCCTGCCAAGGTTGTTCGCGGCCATCGGCGTCTCGATGCCGTTGGAGGGAACCTTTCAGGTAAAGGGTCTCCCAGCTGTCGGGAACCTTCGACGTCTTTTGGATCACCCGTCGTTCGTCTTTATGTTTCTGCGTGATTCGAGTCCAATCATCGCGGACGCCCTGGTAATTCATTGGCCTCGGGAGGTTTTGTATCGATAGGCTCGTAACTCCTACGGGTCGGAAAACTTTCCCGTTGTACTGCCCGGTAACGTCGTAGTTCTCATCGTAATAGTCTCCTCTGGCTTGTTGAATTCCTTTATTTTTCAGCATCAAGCAAACTTCGTCCTCTCCCTGTTCGTCATGGTCCGTGGATTCGAGATGGCTCCACATTTCGGAATGAGGTGTCCGCCACGAATTCATGGCGGTGTACTGCTTTTGGTAGTATGTCGCATCCGATTTCGGCCGCTCGAAAGCATTCACGTAGTTAGGTCTCGCGGTTGTGATCTCGATGAGTTCTAGCTCGTCCGAGTCTCGTCCGTACTCCGAGTTGCTCACTTTCAACAACGCGGGTTTGCGGAGCTTGAAGAAAGCGTTGTTGTTGACCCGCGTTCCCGTAGCGATCGATAAGTCCTTCGTTTCAGGGTCTCGAATTTTTTTGAAGAGTATCGGCGTACGTTGGCCCTGCGCGGGCTGCTTCGAGGTTATCCTGACTCTTGTCTGCTCAACGTACGGAGCGACGATGCGGACCGTTTCACTATGGATATCGTGCACAGGCTTTTCGATAACGTCCTGGACAACTATGGTCCGGCATTCGCAGATCTCAGTTCTGCCACTCAGGGGATCGAACTTTTTCTTCACTCGAACTTCACCCTCGTGTTTCTCCTCACGATACCTTCGCACTGCCGCAGCATACTTCAGGGCCGCTCTCGGTGGCCGCACGTTGAGGAATTTTTCCATCACGGACGGCTCGCCCGAGAACATTATCGGAGGCGGTATCCGCTGAGGATCCGGTAGCTCGTGGAATTGAGCGCTCGTTGTGCGTCTCTGTTCCAAAACAGGTTTCACCGTGACCGCTTCCGTGGAAAGTTCGATGCTCTCCTCGTCAGAAAGATCCTCCTCGTGCTCCGGGATCGATCTGCTGCTGGGCACGGGGAACACTGTCGGCACCACGTCGACGTCTCCGAACTCATTCGCATGTGTTCCGAGCTCTTCGTCCTCGTCTAAAATCGAATCGGTACTTAGCGGCTCCGGAAGCGGATCCGGCGCGGACTCGTTGACGAAGTGGAGCGTTTCCACGTCCAGCCTCCGTTCGCACGGCACCAACGGCGGGCAAAGGACATCTTCGGGATTTTGCACGGAGATCTGTTCGCTCGCCAATGCAGCCTGCAGTGGTCGAAGGGAAGCTTTTTCGGGAATCGTACGAATTGTTCGACTCGTCACTGAGCTAGAATCTATGTATCTATTGGATTTCGATTTTTCAAACGCACCTGAAGCCACAGCACGACCATCCAAATCATGTTTGGGCCACTCTCATTCGTTTAGCCTATTTATAAACCTCAGCACGACTGGGAGCCGACCGGCGAAAGCCAACATTTACTCATAATGAGTGATGGTCGCCACGAACACAAATCCCACGGAGCGTTCTCTCCCTTCGCTTTCGTCGTATACATGACCAAACGTGATATTATAATCGTCGTAATATCTCACTCGGAATGATTGATTTAGGTCTATCGTTTGTCAGTGTTCACCGTCCCAGTCCACTCAATGCCAACAACAAAGGGGAACACTGAGTGAGAAGTAACTCAGGTACCGACGTCAATTTTTTTTATTCAAAGATGCATTGCGGGAGAAAACAGATTTTCTCTTGAGCCGATGCCTCCGGAGGAGGAAGCATCGCGGATGTCATCAGTAGAGATGATCATGCAGGAAAGTCGGATAGCCCACTTCGTAGGATCGGCAGTAGGTCTCGTCGGTGCGAGCGCCCGGATCGCGGGTGCAGAGAAGACCTTGACAACATTTTCGTCGTCGGTCGCAGCGTTGCTGAACGGGAACGTCTTTCCTTAGTCATATTTTTTTTTCGCGCGGGCTATTCTCCACAGGAGACCCCTTGCGGCATTCGGAATCTGGTTCTACTGTTCCACTTACGTAGTCGAACTGACAAGCCCCGATGACACTCACTACACAGAACAAAATCAGGAAAATCAAAGTTCTCATTTCCGTGCACAATCGAGGCGGGCGGACGGGGATCAAGTAATTCCCACACGTATTCTCGCGTTCGCAAGTCCGAGATGACTCCTTCCCGGAACTACTTTGCCGAAAGCGAGCTCGTCTCGTAGCTATACGCTCTGGAGTGATTTCGGAGCCTGATCGAAAGTTGTTCCGCTGTCGGCAAGCAGCGAGGACGGCTCAATTTCGCGCCGAGAAACTGGACCACGTTCTTCAGCGACAAGACACAAAGTGACATAAGACTCGAGCAGGTGAGTGGGTGAGGTGCGGGAAATACGCGCTCCCCAGAAAAGAGAATCAGAAAAAAGACAACCGTGTCGAACGACCTTGCTTTTGTAACCATTAGCAGGACGATAGGATCTCTTCCGATTGCGAAAAAGATCTTTGAGACTCTTTAGACTTTTGCGCTTCAGCGACAGTAATAATAATTGTTCACGATCCTTGGACTGATAGCCGGGCCGATTGACATAGGTACCTAGTGATTTCCCGGTTTCGGGGCGAACGACGGATCCAGTTTTTTTCACCCTCCGATTCCCCGGGAGACAAAGTCCTAATTTTAGTTATGGGAAATCACTGCGCGGACGGATATCTCAGTCGATTTTCAGTCCCCGCTCACCAGAATCACTCCCGAAGGCCGGAAGCGCGACTATCCGAAAAAAACATTTCGGCAACTCCTCAATTACAATTGCAGTAATCAGCCGATATAATAATTCATCTCATTCGAGCTTAATGCTCATTGATGCAAGGTGACGCGAACGGAATCGGTTGCCCTAGATGAAGCAGAGCATTTTCGGTCGGTTCCGGAAGAGGAAATTTCTGATCTCAAAATGTGAAATGCCGTTCCCATAAGAACAATATTCGAAATCCTGTTCCAATAGATGCGAGCTTTTTCCAAGCTTTGTTCCTTTCCGCCTCATCTCTGGAATTACGCGATAAAATGAGACGCCTTCGTGAAAATCCCTCACGGATGCCCTGTCGCGTACCCCAGCCTCCTCGGAGAGATCAAGATGTCCGCCATCGGGTCCGAGCGCCGGCTACTCGCCATCTCAGCCCCGCTGCGGGCTATCAGTCTCGATGAGTCAATTCGACCACCGTATCTATCTGCGATCGATGCGCTGGTAACCCCCGGGATCCCTCGAGATAGTTTTGAGTTCATATTCAGGGGGGTGCGAATCGGGTAGTCGGGAGACCGGAGCCCGAAAAACTCACGTTCCGAAAACCGTCCATTCAAGGTGAGCTATTTCGGTTCGATTTCGTGCTCGCTGCTCTCTTCGCTCCTATCGGCCGATTAGATTAGAGATCACTTTCCCTCTCTTGTTTTTCTCCGACGGTCCATCTAGCGCGGTGGTCGTCGCGAAAAACACGTGGACCGCAAAGGGTGACGAGACCGTGCTGTAGGGAATCTCTCGAGTGTATTGTTTGGCCATCAATGGAGACGTTTGTCTTATTCGGACCCCGGAGAACGGCATCGCACCTCCCCGTGCTACCATACCGTGGAAATGTGTGCTTATACGACATGGAATGCTGAGTGAAACCGGCAGCCCCTGAGGAGCTGAGAAACGCAAGTATGACGTGCGTCTTCGAGGCCAGGAACCACGAGAAGCTGAACAGAGCTCTTCTCAGCGGTCGGAATCGTTTTCGGTGTTTCGATGTCTCCCAGAATTTCATCGGAGCGGGAAGTTCGTCCGGAGACGTTTTCCTCTTCGAGCGGGATTCTCAACAGCTGATTCGAAGAATACCCGCAGCCTCAGCGAAAATCGATCGAATCGCTTTCAACCCGGCTGTCGACAGCATTCTGTGCATCGCCACGAATCGAGGAGAACTGACTGTCCTGGAGGTCCGAGAGAGCGAAAACAGCTCGAAAGACGCTCAAGTTCTTTTCTCCGTTCAATCGCATCTCAAGAATCTGGTCACTCAACTGGTTTGGAGCTCCACGGGCGCTCAGCTGATCGCGGGGGACAACGCCGGTGTCGTGAGCATAACCGACGTGTATTCGTTGAACGACGCGGTACTTTTTGAGTTTTCGCCAACGAACGCTCTCGCTCTGGACAGCGATATTGTTCAAATCGATGCCGCGTCCGACAGAATTCTCATATCGACGCTGACGGCAGCCTATCTCTTCGACCTGGACGAGCGTTATTTCACGAAAGTAGGCAAGAAACCGCGCAATGGAGTATACGGAGCTTGTTTCTTCAGCCTAGAGGACGCTCAGGAAAGCGACCAGGGAACCCGACTGGAAATCTTCTGCGCTCGACCAGGAGGACGGCTCTGGAGAGTCAACCCGTTCGGTGAGGTTGAATGCACCTTGAATTTCAAGCATGAGGGATCCACCTCGATAGATCATTCGAGTGTTTCTCTTCTCGGCAACTGGCGAGTCGAAGGGCTTTTCACGCAAAAAGTGAATTTCGGGAAGCTCGTGCATTTCGAGCAGTGGCTACTGAGCTTCACGGAAACCGCGCTCTTTGTTCTCGACGTTTGTAGCTCGGAAGTGCCTCGGGTCGTTTGGCAGTCTACGGAGTTAAAAGACTCTCTGATCGATGTTTCCGTTTTCGATGACTCCATATTCCTGACCCTGAGGGACGGAACATTGCTCGAGTGGCAGATAGCTCTGACGTTCGATTGGAAAATCATGTACATGCTTCCTACTCCGGCTCAGCGTCTCGCCGTGACTTGCAGGAATTGGACAGAGAAGCACTTCGAGTGCCTTGACATAATACGACGCCGAGAATCCTTGGGCAAGGAAGTTTCGTGTCGGAGTTCAGAGTGGCGGATGATTCCTTCTGGATCGAAGGGACCGATTTATCTGAGCGTACCTATTCTGTTGACGCTCCTTCGATACTACGAAGGTATCCTATTGAGTACGAACCCGAGGAACTTTTGGGCGGACAAACTCGTTTACATTCTGCCCCCCGAAGTGCTCCAGCCGCAGGCAGTCGCTGCCCCTCAAAAAAAAGCCAGTGGCAACCCTGAAGCTCCGGATCCTCCTTCAGCAGAGAAGGAAATTCAGGTCACTCGGGAAAAGCACAGAAAACTGCTTTGTGACATAATCTCTCGCCGTCAGAAAGAGATCGCTGACTTCATGCTTGTGGAACTCAGTGCCTCCCTATGGGCTCCGCGGGCTGTGCAGGAGAAACATTCGATTGACCAGCCCCTCGTCGCGTGGGGAATGAGGATGAGCTTCGTTGATTGCTGTGATTCGTGCGGAGAGAGCTTGGTCGTGGAAGGCTTCGATGAAGACTTACAAATTCATTTTTGTGGTCACAAATTCCATCTTACTTGCAACCCCACCAATAGGTTGTGTTGCATATGCATGCAAATGTGACTCCCTGAGGAGGAGCCGAAATCCCGTATGTGTACGCAGTCTAGAGATGTCGTAACTTATATCATCGATTCGTACAATAAAACCCATCAGTCCCGCCCCGGGAATTCCTGGATTTCTACGGGGCGAAGCCGGATTTCGAGATCAGAAATGGAGTCTCCTTACATCCATGTCTCCGAGTGGTTTTCGCGGGGACGGCGAGCCTCCTGTTGCGGGAATAAGAACTGGAGTTGATCGGGAATTTTCATGACGGGGAAGAGGAAGAGAAGACGGGAGAGACAATGGAATATTAGCCCCTGAACTCTCTGCTCGAACATCCCGACCATCGGTGCTTAGCAGATGAGTCAACTGAGAGCGTCGCCGGAGATTAGCAGAGCGATAGGATAGCTTGACTGACGAGAAACACCCTGGTCGGATCTTCGCATCTTTCGGCTAGATATTCGGTATCGAGAATTGATTTACGCGAATGTTCATGGGGTTCATGATATTGCTCATCAATCTATCAATTGTATTATCGGATTGTGATCCTGTTAGCTTTTCGATGCTTACAGCGACTCCCAGATTCGAGCTGTGGAGAGCGAGAGCGTTCCAGCCTATCCCGAGTACGACTACCTACATTTATACATTCATAGGTATTTTCCGTCGAGTTATGGGCTCTTCTCCCATATGCTCTGTGAACTATGAACGTGGGCTTGGGCAATGCATCCCATGAGTTGTCTCTGATGAGGAATTCGGATGAGCATATACATATGTACCCCTGTACATATATGTGTGCGCTTCTCTCCCAGCTCGGCGGTTTCCCAGTCGGGATTCCGGCGGAGGAAAGCCTTTGAGAATATCGAGCGAGTATCCGAGCTGATGAAATACACGAGAATGAACGAATAGTGAGAACTTTCCTCTTCATGTGAAAACGCGATTCTTATCTTTTGGAACAGCAGGCTTCTTCGTCCGAGCGAGCGAGCCAACTCTTCACGATACGGATCATCGAAGAGCTCGAATGTACATCTGATTTAGGCATGCTTCCTCCAGTAGATCCGTGTAGTCACATCAGTCACCGCTCTGATGTGATTTCGGCTCGTAAAGACGCATTCTCATCGGTTTCCGGAGTAGTGGTAGTGGTCGTCGTCGTCGTCGACGTCTTCTACAGCTGTTGGTGTGGCCCTCGAAAAGGGGCTGGGAAATGCTCGACGCGTTTTCCTGAGAAAGAGTCCCGTCTGAGAACGCTCTCATGTTGGGAAAATAGTTTGCAGCTTTCGTTCTCATAGAGAAGAACGAATGAATTTCGTTGCCCCGTGTGCCTCTCTCTCACACACCTCGTCCCAGGCACGTAGGATATAGTGTTTGGCATTCTGCCACCGCTTTTAGGTGATATTGAAGACCGTTGTCGGTGAGGCGAACTAAAGTTTGAAAGTTTGAGTATAGAGCTCTCCGGAACATGAACTGAGCATGAGAAAAATGGATGAAGACTAATTTTTACCAGAAGTTCTCCCACCACCAACGACTGACAATTGAGAAGATGCCGCCGCCGCTGCTGCCATCGCCGATGACTACCATGAGATCTGCGAGCGCTGGTGCTGCTGCTGCTGCTATGGAACAGTGCATGAGAATCGTCACACATTAGCCTGAGAACCGCGTTGTTAGGTTCACAGGAACATTGTCTCTGCAGAACCTTTCGCCGAGTTTCCGTTGGTGAATCTATATCCATCATAGCGTATGGCATGCACACCGAACGCTCGAAATTCCTCCGGAATTTCAAAGAGTGAATTCGTAATTCAGCTCTGGCGGACGCTCATCCTCAGTGGTCCGCCTGCGAATGGCACAAACGCGTGATGTTTCTTGACGAGAACTCGAGCACGACGACGGTCAGCGATTTGGAAGCAATATGAGATGCGAGGCGTTCGTGAGATTTTCGTCGCCGCACCTCCTCCGAAGCGGCGTGGGAACTTTGGATTCCCACGCTCATTGAGCCCGGAGAGCCACAGGCGGATCGACCCGATGCCGCCGCCGCCGCTGTCGATGCTGCTACCAGCGCTGCTGCCGCCGATGCTAGCGATGGAAAGGAAAGCGATCTTTGGAAGAGCTCGTCGGACGAATCGTTCAGCGCGAAGAGGCGAATGTCAAAATCATATTCTTACCTTGTTGTCGGTCGATCTGGCTCGTGATCCATTGGATGATTGCGGGGATGATACATACAGCTTCGGCTCGCGGGTAATCGAAGATTCGGTTGCCGTCGCTAATACACATCCGTGTGGTTCGCCCATAAATCGGACAGCCCGAATATCGAACTAAAGTTCCGTTCGAGCCCGAGATGGCATCTCTCTTTCGGTGGTCGGTCGGTCGAGGAGGACCGTCGCACCATGTCAATTTTCAGCGAGTGTTTCCGCTATTGTTTCAGCGGGGGGAGGGGGAAATCAGAGCGGGACAAAAAAGCTGGCATTGAAATTTTTGTGACGCGATGAGAAGCCACGTTTTTCTCGCTTCAATCGTCCCGACTTCAAGCGTCAAGCGAGCAAGCAATGTTTTTGTTCGAAATGTAAACGAAGCCAACGTCGTCGTGAGAACAGAAATTCGCCGTCTCTGCCCTTTCGTTGCTTTCGTCCGTCAAGGCTCTCGGACGATCGACCGTTTTCTTTTCGTCAACCCGCTGTCATCAGAGATTTTCCGTTACTTCCAAAGAACCACGCTATGATGTTTTTTCGAACCATGCAGCTCGCGAACATCCGCTTGCGGTGAACGAGAGCCCGGAATCATGCGTCATGCCCGGCTTACCGATCTCATGATATTTCCGTTTTATTAGGCACGTTCCGGAGTTCTCACGCACCTGGATGCCTGCACATCGATATGTAAAGGCCCAAGACTTGTCTCGGAGTGATGTCGTATTGTCTCGTAGATAAGGCTGGGCTCCGACAGCCCCGCTTCCGAGTCAGGAAAGGGAAGAAGAAGGAATCGTTCTCGGATAGAACCCCGAAGCATCCGCAAGTTTCCCACGGATTTGCCCCGGAGATCCGCGCACGTGGCGGGCTGCCGCTCGACAACTGAGGTTGACATTGGGAAAACGTTCGTCCTGCTTCGCTATCCGACTCAGTGCCCGAGTGAGCGAGCGAGCTCTGTGGCTGACAGATAAGCGGGCACGTTCTCACATGTAGTAGATTGCGCTGAGATTTCTCCCATTACTGGCAGTAGTTGCGCTGATCGAGGTAGTGTGCTTGAGTTGGACGGGGCGGAGATGGTGTGTAACTTTCTCAGCATCCGCTCCTATGTATTGGACTCTTGGCTAGCTGCTCGTTCGTTCGGTTGGGTGCGAGCAAGCCAGATAAGCTGCTGGCGTTGACATCGATGAGTCCCCGACTCAGGAGTCGCGCGCGTCGAGGAAGCTGCTCAGCCGGAGTCTCTCAGTAGAGAGCTCCAACGGCTAAATTCCCACTATTACGAAGGAGTCGATCCTTCGCCAGAGAGTGCAGCGATCGCCAGCACCACCGAGAGCACGGTGAGGAGCTTCTTCCGCGTGTATTTTCCGAAGTTGTTCGATCGATAAGAATCCTTCGGGGTTCCGCCTCAGTCAGTCAGCGAAAACGCCGAACGGAATTCCCGAACGATGGGTGTGGTCACGGCCGCGAGCGATATTTCCGTCGTCTGCGGTCGATTACCGCAGAACGGAACCATCCGCGACGCGATAAATTCCGGACCAGAAATAATTAAGCAGGAGCCGAGTCCGCAGACGGAATTCGAGCGTCAATATCCTGAGTGAGACCGGAATGAAAAGAACAATTTTTAGGCTTGTGGTCCTGCCCATTGCTGTACTCTCCGAGTAGCAGAGCAATTTCTCTGCGCGGTGGAGATTAAATAGAGCGCGGGCCGGGACACGCACGGAGTCCAACGGATATGGGAACTGAGTTCTCGTACGCTGAGAAAAATAGAGCACTTATATTCGGATTCCCAATCAACAGCGCGGACCATGTATGGACACCTAACCCAAAATGGACGTATCTTCATTGGCACGCTCGGAAATTCCCATGAATTGTTTCTCGAGCGACCCGATGTGCACCGATCTAGAACTCATTGATATTGTAATCGAAAGCTATCGAATCTGAGCCCGTGGACATTAGCAATTTCATTCCCCTCAAATGAGGGGCAGAACTGGATATCGAAAAGCTCAGGATAAAATATATCGCGAGGGCATCCTTCCATGTCCGACATCCGAAGCTAGGCTGGGAATCTAGTTTTGTGAGGTGACGGTGTATTTTGAAGCAAGCCATGGCGAATTCCTGCTCGCGGCCGTTTAATTCTTCATCTGGTTACGACTCCGCTCCTCGACCGGTCGGAATTCCTATGCTCTCTCCGATGGCGGGTACGAACAGGAACAAGAGACATCGAGAATGACAAAACGCAGAGGAATTCGGGGGCAACAGTCAAGGGGCCGGGGTCCGGGCTGAGACTCACATGAGCCGGACTGGGTTTCACAGTGAAGCGCTTGCTCGCTATAGATATCGATAATCGCCGTTCTCACGCTGCAGGAGGGCAACTAGTTATCATTCAAACGAAGAAGCATTCAACGGGGCAGCCATAAATGTTCCGCAGGAATAGGCGGCGCCTTTCGATGAAACTCGCTCTAGTCTAACGAATCGCAAACGGAATAATTCCGTATGCGGTCCCGCAGCTTGAGACTACAGTGCTCGGAACATCGCGTGGGCCAAGTTCACGTACAACGGGCAGCCTTCCCTCGAGAACAACCACTAAGAGACCCGCATTGGAACGCAAAGCTTCTCCTTCCAAAGACTGGCTGCGAGCAGAGCGTGCAAGCAAATGAGAAGAGATTTCCATCTAAAGGAATCGTATTGCTCCCTTCCTGCTCTACCGAAACTGGGAAGATGCGCCCCAGAACCTCGATCTCCTCGATCAATCAAGTTGTCGAGCGTTCTCCGAGGAGTTCTTGCATAACTGGGTCACATCACTTCCTTGTCGGAGCGATTACTCGGATTCGATCACTCGCAATGTCTGTCCTCGCAGTTCGTAGTCAGTCCTGGCAGTGAAGGTGGTGGAGGAAGTATCCGTTGCCTACTCGAGTCTGACTGTGTCACCTTCCCACCACAGCAAATGAATCGATGAGAACAATCCTTGATAGGGTTTTAACCTTAGATCCACCTGTTTCTCGTTCCCACAACCATAGCCCGAGAGTTTAGTCATCCCCAGAATTTTTAGATGGGCTCTAACCCGGCTCCATACTGAACATTCAGCTTCGCATAGTGTGACGCAGGTTCGTTCTTTCTGGCCGTGATTCTCATGGAGCTCAACGGTTTCTTTCGCGGGTGCTGAGCTCGACGGGGACGACTTCCATCTTCCGGCAATTGTTCTAAAGTGCGGTAAGCTACCAATCACTAGCAGCTTGGAAACAGCTAGGGAGCGATGACGTGCTTCTGAAACATAGGTCTCCGATTTCTCTCCGAATCCGCGCGAAATATTTCTGAGAGGACTGAATTCTCTCACGTTTGTCAATGGTTGGAAACGTCCTTTTGTCCGGACGAATTTTCTGATGATGCCCCTCGTACCCTCGGACAAAGCTCTTGTCGACGACAGACGACTCGAACAACAAATATGCGAAACATTATGAGAAAATTCTCACGATTCCCTTTCCTTCGGCTGAAACCCCTCTCCCTGACTGGAACTCGCTTTATTGCTGCTGCCGATTCGATCGTGCCTCGCCAGAATAGCACGGACGATCGGCGAGGAGGGCTGCGCGGTGCGTCTACTAGCGCTGACAGCTGCTGAGGAGCGACAGTTGTTAATTTGAGCACAGTTGTTCTTCAAGAGACAGTCGTCGAGCTTGATTTCGAGCTCGCCCTGTCGGTGCGACCACAAGCTCGAGAGCAAGACGATATCTGGATACAGCAATCTTTCCCAGTCCCACTAGGAGCTCGGATCGACCATACATGTGCGCATGTACTTGGAACGTGGAGTGTGTACTTCGACTTCGGACCGGCCCGGTTCGGTGAATGACTCCCAACTTCAGTTGACGCAGTTCATACGTCCACCGGTATGACCCCCACGGCTGAACTTGTGGTGCCGACCCATACCTCGACGGGTTCTTCGGCTATCAACCAAATTTTACGTTCGGGTGACACAAATCTGCTCTTGAAATTGCTATCTGACGGAGAAGTCGGCGAAATCAACGTCAACGTATTTGATCGCGAAGGAATGACTCCTCTGCACAAATCCGTGATGGATGGCAATTTCGAATTGGTTAAACTACTAGTGAAAGTGGGGGCCGATGTCCGGTTGGCTTCACGCGACGGTTGGAATGCTCTGCACATCGCCTCTTTCGGCGGCCATGTAAATATCGTCGACTACCTGATAAACTGCTCGGTACACCCTTGAGCATCGAGCAATGCGTATGACTTCACTCGGGGCAAGGATGCTGATGACTACCTCGTAGACGATGGGGAAGTCCACGGTGCCGGAATTTCGCCGGGTTAACGTGACCTTTCCGAGAAAGAATTCCATCGGATGCCTCGGGCTCTCACCTCGGCTGGGAGAGACCTAGCGCAGTTCCAGACCCCGGGTCCTCGTGCCTTTGGCGGTTCTGATTCGAGAACGAAACGATAGGAGGCCGGAGAAAAAGATGAATATTATGTTGCTAGCAGGGGAGACGATCTTCTTCTCCTGCGGCTGAATCGAGAGGCACCGACGCACAGTGGTCGGAAACCACGGAAAATCATAACTTCTGAACGGCTGGACCGATTTCGCTGAAATTTTTATGGTGGGTTATTGGGCCTAAAACGCAACTTTTGAGGATATAACTGGGTCTGGGTTCGACCCCGGTGACCCCGAGAATCGAATTTTTTCACTAAATCGGCGATTGCGGCTAAACGGCTGAACCGATTTTGGATTTCTTGGTGGCGTTGGAAAGCTGAGTGAATTTCGCATCTTTTTGTCTCTTGAGAGTTTGACCTATGACCTTTCGTAAGCGAGCTAGCGGCCGATTCTTAGAAGCGCCGATATCTCCACGAAAAATGCTTCGTTTTTTTCTCGCAAAAAAACGATTCGGTGTGGAATTGGATGATCTACCCGTTTCTGACGATATTACAATCATTTAGTAAAGAGGAAAAAATATTTTTTCAAAGTCAAAATCACGTTTTTTGCAGTTTTTCACGAAAATGCCCCACCCCTCTAGGTCCGTAGACCCACCAACATTTTTTATGACTGCCCCTTACGCCCCCGCATCCCATGAAGGTCATGTTGGGCACCCTTCCGGGATTATCTACCTTAAATCCGGAAAAACCTTCAAATGGCAGTTTTCATAGAGAAAAATTCTTAAATTAATTCAGGGCTAATATTCGCTGGATCGGCTTTATTCTTGTAGAAAACCGCGCAAATCAACTCAGAACTTCGAATTCGCCGCCAGCGACGCCATCTTTGGTGCCGCCGCGGCGGCTACATATACACCGCGCGGGACAATCGATTCGCCATACGTGTTAGTGCTTGAGCTGTTCAACGGCCGAAAGCTCTTGCGATGAAGTCGTACATGCTTGTGATACCCTACGGGGATCTTATGGACTTCTTCCTATCTAATCAATTCGACCTGGACCTCATCATGGAAGATATCCAGCATCGGTACCACATGATTCATCAAGACGATTTCAAGGAGCCTCCCGGGACTCATCGACGTCAACGTTCACGAGCAGAGACTTCTTCAAACAATCCTGGTACTTCTTCCCGAGCTTGATTCTGCAGCGACCGGTTGCTTTCCACCTCTTCGTGAAGTTCGGCAAGATGAACTTGCTCAAGTGTGCTCTGAACTCCTTGAAATCGTCTTGATGAATCATGTCATCATGTGGTACCGATGCTGGATATCTTCCATGATGAGGTCCAGGTCGAATTGATTAGATAGGAAGAAGTCCATAAGATCCCCGTAGGGTATCACAAGCATGTACGACTTCATCGCAAGAGTTTTCGGCCGTTGAACAGCACAAGCACTAACACGTATGGCGAATCGATTGTCCCGCGCGGTGTATATGTAGCCGCCGCGGCGGCACCAAAGATGGCGTCGCTGGCGGCGAATTCGAAGTTCTGAGTTGATTTGCGCGGTTTTCTACAAGAATAAAGCCGATCCAGCGAATTTTTAGCCCTGAAATTAATTTTAAGAATTTTTTCTCTATGAAAAATTGCCATTTAAAGGGTTTTTCCGGATTTAAAGGTAGATAATCCCGGAAGGGGTGCCCAACATGACCTTCATGGGATGCGGGGGCGTAAGGGGCATCATAAAAAAATGTTGGTGGGTCTACGGACCTAGAGGGGTGGGGCATTTTCGTGAAAAAACTGCAAAAAAACGTGATTTTTGACTTGAAAAAAAAATATTTTTTTTCGTCTTTACTAAATGATTGTAATATCGTCAGAAACGGGTAGATCATCCAATTCCACACCGAATCGTTTTTTTGCGAGAAAAAACGAAGCATTTTTCGTTGAGATATCGGCGCTTCTAAGAATCGGCCGCTAGCTCGCTTACGAAAGGTCATAGGTCAAACTCTCAAGAGACAAAAAGATGCGAAATTCACTCAGCTTTCCAACGCCACCAAGAAATCCGAAATCGGTTCTGCCGTTTAGCCGCAATCGCCGATTTAGTGAAAAAATTTCGATTCTCGGGGTCACCGGGGTCAAACCCAGACCCAGTTATATCCTCAAAAGTTGCGTTTTAGGCCCAATAACCCACCATAAAAATTTCAGCGAAATCGGTCCAGCCGTTCAGAAGTTATGATTTTCCGTGGTTTCCGACCACTGTGCGACGGTAGCACTGGACCACCAGCCGACCGACCAACAAGCAGAAGACCGACCAGTCCACGAGCCATCCATCGACTTCTGCTTGCTCGCAAGTTAGTCAGAAGTCTCGTCGTGTCATCGACAGGCAAAGTGATAAACCGAGCGAATGACGGAAGTGGTCATTGCTCGGCTTGCCCCACTCTAATTATTCGAGCGTACAGCGACGTGCTCTGTGATCGTGCCGCTCGTACAAGAGACTGGAAAATCGAAAGGGACACGCTCGGCACTCGAGTCTGCCCTGCCCAACGTAGTATGAAATTCCTAAAGCCCACAAAACCCAACCGAAGAATGATGATCGCCGCGTTGAGGCGATCGGCAGCTTTGTTGAAAGAGCGAGAATTTCCGAAGATCTTCATAGGAGATTCCGACGCTCGAAACTGTACATACGACAATCGGAACGAGAGATTGTGGACGGAAGGGCGCGAAGCTCTCCATGAACACACTGTATATATTCAGAGCATGGGAATCGTCTCTGATGCTCCCTAGGACGGAAGGAAAAATCTCAGAATCATCTTTCACTGTAGAGAATAAATCGTTGCCTTGTTACCGAAATGAATCACATGTATGATTGTGTCTCTTTTCCACGACTTCTCTCCTGAGCACGGAGAGAAACGTGGTTCCGCCGCGTTCAAGGGTTTCGCTCCAGCTGCTTGCGGAGCGGTCTGCGGTACCGCTGCGATTTCCCAAGAATATCCTCAGCAGCGCGCGGGTCTTCCGATCGGAACCGCTCCGCATTCCCTCAGACGCTAATGGGTAGTGATGAATTTCATCCGAAGGAACCATTTCGACAGACGTGATTTCTATCCGGGCTCGACCATGAAAATCAGTCAGCTTCGATTGTTTGTCTTTCTCTTCGAGCATTCGGTGGAGACGTTCAGCACACAGCCTCCGCTCAGCTATCCATCGCTGCCCCGGACTCCGGAACACAGAAGTTCATATTTCGCAACGCATTATGGCATCGGTCATCATGTCACGAGCTTACAGGCGTCATTATGCATCGGAAGTCATGCAATCACGAAGCGAAGTCCTCGCGACCAACTCATTGCGCCTAGTCAAGAGCCCGTACGCCGCATAGACCACGCCTTTGGAAGGGATGGGTTATAGATCGAATTCGATTGGTTTCGACGTTATTCTGGAGTTGAGAGGGATCGTAGCTCCTTCTTCAGCGTCCGCAGCAGTCTGATTGATTGAAGCTGGATTTCGCCTGGGTTCAGACAGAAGACGCCTTTGATCATTATCGATGAGATCGTAGAGCTGACTCAATTTTCGCTGTGCTCGAAGAATAGTCGAGAACGCTTCTCTGAAGGGTCGTCAGGTAGCCGGCGATGCTCCGAGATGTCGACTGATCAGGACTGATTCTTGAATGGTTTGAGTTTGTGGGTAAAGAGATGGTCAATCGAGTCGTCTGAGTCGATCTGAACTGGAATCAAGAGATCTGGAATAGGACTCCGAAGGTGTAGGGGGAAGCTCGCCCCCGACCCATCCCGGCCGTTCCGCGAAAAACGAACTTCCGCAAGCCTGGAGTCACTGGTATCCCGCCTAGTATAGCCGAAGCTGAGGCGATCCGCGAGTATGAATTCATCAAGAGAGGGAGAAGTTTTTCCTGAACGTGGAACAACGCGACTCGCTGCTGAAATGCTTCCGAACGACTCTCCTTGAAGCGTAGAAAGTTGTTCGTGAGTCTATTCCTGAGGATAAGGTCCGACCGACGATGATCTGATATTCAGACCGATGGCACGCGGAGTTCACCAAGGGTCGGGGTAGATCTGATTTTCAGTGGATCAATCAATGAATTGCGATTCCCTTCGAGCTCATGCAGTGAATGAATATCGAAAGAGAACCCGAATAATCGAGGCTTCTTTGTACCTGACGATATCGATGGTCAGCTACTTCTCGATTCTGAGCCAGAGGGAAAGAGCCGCCCTAGCGAGCATGGGCTAATCAGGTCATGATTCATGTTTCCTGGCACTTTCATCTTGCTCGCTCGATGTCGGAATACGCATGGATTCATTGGAAAGCAGTGATGGCTCGCCAAATGATGCGAGAGATCAATCCCTTTACCGGGAACACATAATCGGAAAACTAAACGGAAGCCCCCAGAGAACACTGATGGAAGAAGGTGGGAATCGAGCTTCAAGGAGGAATATATCGAGTCACCACTCTCTACCGCAAGCGACCAGGGTTAACTCATCTAAATGGCTTACTGACAGCGTATTTCTACCCTCTATAAACATGATTCCGGGGACCCACGAAGAACGTTCGAAGGCTCAACTCATGGCTCACGGCCAAGGCTCAACGACTGTTCGAGCACTGAATTGACAGTGCATCCTACTGTTTTCTCACCAGGCGGGGTCCGCATGTCGCTTGGATAACTGAATTGACGAATGGCATTTTGGTATCAAGCTAGCTCTCGCACCGTCCAACCTGCAGCCTGACTCAGCTCTAGCCTTTAATGCAATTCCGGCTGTTGGCCGATGTTCCGGAAAATACCATCGCCCTGCAACACCGAGCACTCAAGCCGAGGGCGCGTCTCACTTCTCCATTTCATCAACTCAGATGTA